TTTCTTTGAGTGAGCAAGAAACATCAAATCAACATTAGTTTTATGTATACTGTAATAATATTTTCATTAAATGTTTTAGAAATGTTGTAACAATGTTACTTACCAATACAATATTCAAATAATGTTTTAAAAGTTATATTTATATTATTATTTTTGATATTTTTGAACGTTATTTTAACGTTTATTTAATCGATATTATATATATATATATATATATATATATATATATATGATTATACTCAGTAAGCAAAAAATCATTACTACAATATTATTATACGTTATTATACGTATAGAGGGGCAGGAGAGGAGCTAGCGGAGCAAGAGGGCGGATAGAAGAAGAATGGTAGACGGACACAAGAGAGAGGAAAAATTGGAGGATAGTAAAAGAAGCAGGATCTACAAAACATTACTAAAATGTTATAAAAATGTGTTACGAGAACATTATAGCATCATTATTTGTAACGTTATAGACATTTCCAAATCTGGGTCAAAGTTCGTTTATAATGATATATGTAACATTAAATATTATATATTTGAAAACGTTACATATTATTATTCAATAACGTTATAATAACATTGTAGTAATGATTTTTTGCTTACTGGGTCATAAATAGTCAAATATGACATTTATTAATTATTACCTTGATATCTTTATCATATCAATAATTCTGAATAGAACGTCAAAATTATGCTATTAAGACATAAATATGGCATCAAGAAAACATCAAAAGTTTTCGCAATTTAATGTTATTTTGACAAACTAAAAATTTAATCATATTTTGGCGTTATTTTAATTTTTCTGTTCCCTTGAGATGTTTTCATGTAACTTTTAAAATATTTCAGAATTAAACATTTTTATAACTTTTTACCTTCTTTTCTTATCAGATCAGTACTGATATAACTGACACGAATTTTCCGGAAAGATCCATGAAGCTAGCCAAAAATTATTGTAGAAATCCTACTCGGGATCTGAGAGGACCCTGGTGTTATACGTTAGAGCCTACAGTTATCGACGATGAGTGTAATATTCCACTTTGTAATTACGGAGGTGGGTTAAATGATAACACCAATTTCTTTTAACTGTAACTAATAAATAGATCTCTAATACAGCTATCTTTTGTAAAGAGTTTAGATTTGATTTTGCACTTGAAAATATATTATTTGTATTAGATTGTATTATAACGGGGCCAGGAGCTGAATATGGCGGAAATCGCAGTTTTAGTGTTTCAAGAAGAAAATGTAAATCTTGGAACAAAAGATATAAACTTGGTAATACAAAAGTGAGCATAATAAATCTTGTTATTGTATAAATTACCAACAGGAAAATATGTACCCACACAGCAAAAATGTTCCGAATATATTATAGAGATATCCTACATATATTGAGATATTTTTATAATATCCTTATGATGTATTCGGGGCATTTCTGTTGTGTGGGTCAATAAGTTGTAGTGATTTCTCTTCCTTGTTATTATTTTATCTTATAAACTATTATTCATTAATCGTTATACTTCTTTTAGAGTAATAAATTCCATAACAATCATTTTCCGGATGGATCAAGGGCAAAAGCAAATAATTTTTGTAGGAATCCAAATGATGATATTGGTGGTCCTTGGTGTTATGTAGAAGAAAGAAGCTATGAGCTAGTAGAAAAAGAATATTGTGATGTTCCATTTTGCGACGACAGAGGTATGTACAGTCAAATATAACAGAAAAACTAAAACTTAGAAATTGTTAAAAATTAAAGATATGATATGAAGTGACTATGTTTTATGCCAATCTAATAATCTTTTATGTTGAGAATGAATGTTGAGAATGAATGTTGAACATTTAAATTCTATAATAAATATATCTTAAAATATAAATTATAGACTATATTAGAATCTTTCTATATAAAAATGCCAATAAATGTTTTTTAATATATAATAAAAAATATATTTATTTATTCGGAAGATAATTATTATATATTATTAAATAAAATTATATATAAATTACATATAAATTTTTCCTTATATATAAGCATACATATAATCATATGCTTATATGGAAAAAATGTTGTTAAATAAGAAAAGGAAGAAATAGTTTCACTCAATTAAATGCCGACATTATATATTGTCAGAAACATAAGCATATATTTCGAATGTATTTGTATAACAGTACTTTTTTCGTTATAGACATATGATTACACATGATTATATATGGTCATATAGGTACAACACTTATGTGATATTTTTCCCAGGTAATTATAAGAGATGTTTCTTTAAAATGTCTATTACAGAATCTGTTAGAATCTTTCTATATGTATAAATTCTAATTTCTATATATAAATTTTTTCTATATGTAAATTTTAATAGACTTTTTTTTATAGATTGTTTGATGTATTCCCGAAATTCATCGACCTATTCCATGTTAACGGGTTTAAATAGCACTTATGGAAATATATCCTTTTGGATAAAACTCTGGAATCCTCTTGATGAACAAAATGTACATACATATCATTAAATATTGATATATTTTATAGACATACTATAATTCACTGCATAATTAACAAAATTGCACATATCTAGGCAGAAGCCAGGATTTTACTAAGTTTTCTTCCAATCCCGTCTTCTGCCAAGAAGATTGCACAAGACTGGAAAGCCGGAGTAGAACTTTTAATTTCGAACAGTGTCAGCGGTCAAATATATCCTGTTATTGATGTTAATGTAAACAGCTAAGAATTAAACAGACGGTATTACAGTAATAAAAGTATTAACATAATACCTAATTGATCATTAAAATATATTTTTTTCAGAACGGACGGCTTTTAGAGAATACACCCGAGATGCTACTCAGTTCTAAATGGACTGGTTTGTGGATTACTTGGGGTGGTGGTTTCATATCGCTCGGGATACATGGCGTGTCCAAACCGTTAATTATGGACGAGTATAAAACAAAGAATAGTATTTCAAGTTTGTACCTCGACAGTTTCCTGTACTACGGCGTTATGGGCACTGGTGTATTGTGGAGCACAGAGTTTTGTCAAAATTGTACAGTACAGTCCCTAAAAGTTTGGGTCCCATTACTCAAACATAACATCCAAATAATATATTGTAATATAGAAAATACTAAATTATTTGGCTAAAATCTCTTACGCGTTCAGATTGCGAAAGTCACACCACTTTTGGGGATGAATTTTTGACCGTTTGGCCGATGCAAAAAAGTAACGATACGCAGGATGTACGATTTTACGTTCGAGCTAAGCGTGATATAAAAGTACGATTATATCAGAGCCCTGGAGTGCTGTTTCCTTGTTTCACGGTACGAAGGAAAAGCTTTTAATGTCACTAATGCTCAGACTTGAAAATAAAAAATGAGAAACGCGAATTAAAAACGTAATTAATATGGATTTATATTTTATATATGAATATATATTTTTATTTTAGTTGGAAATCAGGCGCAATGACATTATATCTTTGTTATATCAAGAAAATGAAATAGCAATAAAACAGTATTTGAAAGAGGTTATAATTAAGGGATCGCTCAATTATTGGATTTGGAAAGAGTTCACTATCAGGTCTTTTAAAATACATGTATAAATATACAGTAAATATATTACATGTATAATATATTTATTTAACTACCATATTTAGTAAATATATATTACACGTATAATATATTTACTTTAAATATTTTCAGATTTTTGTATTCTATATTAATAAATTTTTTACTTATAATACTTACAGCATTTTCGGTACACATTTGCGTTTAATTTCACAACTTGTATCTGGAAGTGAGGAAATTTTATTTGTAAATCATGATCTACTGACTACTTTACGTTGGTTCAGCGTCGGGAGTAATCAAACAATAGCACACTGGACATTCTTTTGTCCACCTGATGGTAAATGATTAAAACTCTTGAAATTTTGACTTATTAGTATTTGTTAAACATATTACATAAACCTGTTTTTTTAAATTAACAACTTGAGTAGCAACGGACGCGGTAGAAAATCCTCAGCCTCCAAACTGCATTCATAATATCGCTGACTATCAGTATCGTGGAACTCAATGGACGAGTGAAAGGGTACTTCCATGTATACCATGGATAGCAAAGGAGGTATATAATATTCGATCTTCGTCCATAATATATCTTCCATTGAGTATTAAAATATAGAATGGTCATTCAACTACAGTAAAATATTTTATATAATATTAGAAATTACATTTATTCATCCTCTAAAACAAGAATACAACGGTGCGTTTATATTAGATACCAGACAGTGAGAAGATCGCCGATAACTTTGTTGATAGATCTATCATTAAGGTTTTAAACAGATGTAGGAATCCAAGTCATGACCCTAGTGGACCTTATTGTTACGCGATTTCCACTCCACATGCTACGGACATCACGAAACAATATTGTTCCGTCCGAATTTGTAGATCATCAGGTAATTAAAATGTCATTATTACAGACATTGTGTCTACAAACTACACATATATAGCGTAAAAGAGAGAAAGAGAGAAACACATTATTACTTTAGATCTATATTTTTATTTTATATTTATTTTATGACTATATATTTTTTTATTATAAATCATAACATACTGAATCTAAATTTTATTACGTGAACATTTGGATATGTCTATCTTTACTTTATCGTTACGATTTGTAACGTAATGATGAAGTAAACCATGTATTTCTTAATTAGAGTTTATTGAAAAGAATCACTGCGAAAAAGTTAGATCTTTATATACGTTTTTTACGATATTTCCGTACGTTTTTCGCAGAATGTCGAATGGCAGGAACTGCTAATGATTATATAGGCACGCTGTCAACTACTCGTTCAGGTCGAACCTGCGCAAAGTGGTTGAGCGATTATGATCTCGAACAAATGCAAAAACCTAACGCATCGTTGATAACTGAAGCTCCTCCTGAGACTCCGAGTCCGGCTCACGTGAAACGTTCTTTGATGGAGAAAAATGTCTCATCGGGATCATCACTGTTCACAAAATCGCCATTGCGTCCACCACCGAAATTATTAACGAAATTTACAGCTGTTAAACCTGTTCACAGTGTCGATAGAGCGTATTGGAATGATAGTCTCTATCCAGAACGTAGTGTTCGAAATGCCAGCAACTACTGCAGAGATCCTTCGCGTAATATCGCTGGTACCTGGTGTTATACGACGGATCCACTGGTTCCGCAAGATCTTTGCGATGTAAGAGATTGCGAAGAGCCAGGTAAAACTTATTACTTATACACAATGTTTGCTGGTATCTAAACAAAACCATCTATCAATATTATCACCAGTAACATCGAAACATTTTCCTGTTTAGAGTCGAAATTTTGAAGAGTTGCATTGCCTGACGAATTTTTCTAATGTAAAAAAAACAAACTTTTTTCAAATACAATACATCGTATTATCGGCACCAATAGAGTGTCTTTTTAGTTCAAAACAACATATATATATATATATATATATATATATATATATATATATATATATATATCCTGTAAAAATCGTTTATCAGACGATACTTTTGAAAAACTCTTGTTTTTAAAAAATAAAAACTTATAAATAAAAGTATATCTCCTTTTTTAGATATCTTGTTTATTTATCCTTTTTATTATCTATGCAACTTGTTTACATATTTGTAAATTGTTTGAAAAACTCTAAAAAACAATTTAGATGAGTCACATAACCATTTCGTTTTTCATCTAAATGCTTTAAAAACGAAATCATCTCCATCTGATTTTAATGAAAGTTGGTGCAAGTAAATATTATAATAAAACATGATTTCAAGGGGACTATAAAATGCATTATTTAAATTGTTTTTGTCAATTATAGTGAAAATTAACTTTCATTTTATAATAAAAGTCAAGCAGATAATATTAAAACAAATTCAACCATATTAAACAATATGACCTTCAAAAATCTTTCTCCGATTTATTGTATTTTGAATGTAACAATCCATCGTTAAAGTTCCAAAATAAAATGATTCTTTATAAAATATTTCGAGTTGCTTCATGCTTTACCTGGTATATACAATATTTTCATATAATATTTATATATATAATTAAATTTAATACATTTAACATTTTAGATAAAATATTCTTAAACATTAAATTTATATTAAAATATGAAGTAAAATTAAAAATCAAAATAACTTTAAATTTACTATAGAAGATACATACAATTAATAACAGAAAATTTAGTTTTTGTTATTCAAATAAAAATAATGTTAGTCAAATGAAAATTAATTCAAGCACGGGAAAAAATTCAAAAAAATTTTTGGTAACGCTTGGAAAGGTTTGATCCGCCTTGAGCATCAGATTCTTCCAAATTTGGTGCTCGTAAAAAATTATTACTCATTGTTATATTATCCGCATAGAGGAGTGCACATTTTTCGTGAAAGGACACGGCATCGGACGACGTTTATACGTTTTACCGGAGCATCGTACAGAAGGCCTGCACTTTTCGTTAAAAGCATGGGAACCTGATCGGCCTGACTCCATAACGTTTGTGTTTACTGCCGACGACGGATTGAAGTCCCGTTACATTCTCAAGATCGGTGCTTTAGATAATGAAAAAGTTCTTCTCTATTATCAGTCTGAAGAAAAAGGTAACTTAACCTCATGAACGTAACAGAGAAGACCACTTATTTCAATATATTGCTTGATCTCTCTTTTTCTTAATTTTTACAACTGATAAGAAATAGTTTTGGTGAAGAAAAAAACGTTACCGCACTTGCTGTATCTTGGCAAGTGGAGTAGCTTTGTTATTCGTATACCTCGAGGACGCGTTGTTGTCTATTACGCGGGAGCGTCGGATCCGCTCTTCGAATGGGAACATCCCGAGCCAGCCAAAGCCTTCTTACCGGTCTATTATTATTATAATAGCGAGAAAGGACACGCGATAGGGGTCGCTTTCGATTGTGCCTCAAGTACATTTTGCAATCTCTAAAGCCAGTTCTTCGCGGTTAGATATGGTGCCTTTGATCTCTTCCGTTCTACGTCCGTGCAGGATGTCACATAGAGAACACGCAAACCGATCGCTACACGAGAATATTACCGGCGTCAACGTGGTCTAAGGAAGATGTGGTCAGACCGAATAAATTAACGTTGATGATACGCGCCAAAGGGGTCGTTTGGATACCGTTACTTCTGCTGCCAGGGACACCGGGGTAAATAGAGATAATTATTTCGCAAATCCTTCATATCCGCTTGTATCGCGCTGTATCTTGCAGATTTTACGCGCTTATGCTCGGCAAGCAAGATCAGTGGATACATTTTCTGAAAAACACTTATCCCAGGGTGAAAGTTTATCACAAGCAGAAAGCGCCCAAGCCGATATTTACCACCAACACCTGGACGAATATTACTATAAAGTAATTCGGCCAAAAACGCATCTGTATTTTGCTGAATCTGAATTAATAATTTATCGCGTAATTTATCGACAATTTGTTCCATCGTCTGTTTCGGAAAGATGGGCGGGAAGCACGATCGACATATTCTGCAATGAGACAATCGTGTTCCATTACGTGCATCGTCAACCGCTCATCTTCTATTTTTTTTCACTCGCCGTGGACACGGGAAGTTGGGCCACGTGGAGCGCGAACTGCATACCATCAGGTATAATTAATCTATTGAGACTGTATTTATAATTTAATATTAATGGCGTTTAACAATTCATGTATACAGATCAATCGTTGTATACAGATAGAACTCATTAATCTGAACACAAAACTTCTCTACCATTTCGCAAACAACCATGTAAAATTTTGAATTATTAATTAAAGAAGATTGGTGAACGTGTATGATCATGGGCGATGCGGTAGATGAACTATGATAGTAGTTTGCCGTCGTATGCTTGTACATTATGTAAAGCTAAATAAAAAAGTCCTCTCTGCCATTTTGCAACCGCGTAGATACTTAGTCATTGATTTAATTATTGATTGATTGATACATAATCGTGCGATAACGCACAAATCTTCTTTAATTAATAACTAAAAAATCTATGTAATTATTTGCAAAATAGTCGACGAGTTTTTTGTTCAGTTTGATCTACAGTTTGATGTACAAGCACACAATAGTAAACGTCGTTATCACAGCTCATCTATCGTATCACGCGTGATCACACACATTTACAAATCTTCTCTAATTAACTTAAAATATTACGTAGTTGTTCGCGAAATGGTAGAGGAATTTTGTGTTTAATTTAATGAGTATTACGAATTGCACATAACATGAATGTATGTCATGAATTATCACATTGAGAGAAATTATTCGACAAGAAATTAACAAACAGATATTTCCTATCAAAATATCAATAAATTTTTATATCCGATCAGGAAACATTCGATAAGAAATATCAGTTTATAATTTTTTGATCGGTTTATCTGATGAAATGCTATTATAAGCGGAAGTATTCGATTAAATTTAATCGGATATCCTGATCGAATATAAAAATTCATCGGCATTTTGATCGGAAATATCCGTTTGTTAATTTTTCATCGGATAATTTCTTTCAGTAGACATCTTGTATATTCCCAGGACAAAACATACCAGAATCATTCTAAATGTGCCCTAAAAAATAGAATATTTAGAATAGATTCATATAAATAGTAATATATTTCACACTAAAACGTTTTTATCTATTTTCTCGTAAAAAATCATAACGAGTCTAACTTATTTTCATATTTAGACATAAGTACGTGTCACGAGTCAAACCCGTTATGCTTTTCTAATGGGTTAAAACGCGTCAGTATAAGAATAACGTTATATATGCCATAAGAATATAACGTTATATATAAAATATAATAATCATTAGTCACTTGTCTTGTGTATCGCTGGCTAAAAGTTTATCTAACATTTAAATGTGAGGTTTTCACAAATTTTGTAAAATATTGTTTTGCATCCTTTTGTTCACATATCCTTTTGTTTCATTCATATGCAGATATAGATGGTCCCCCTTTAGACGGTGGATGGTCCGAATGGGAACCATGGGCGTGCAGTGTTAGTTGCAATGGCGGCATAGGAACCAGAAAACGATATTGTAATTCACCGGAACCTAACGTGAAGGGTGAACCTTGTATAGGGCCTAGCAGCATGACTGGTCGTTGCAATATGATTCTCTGTGGTGATATAACCGATGGTATATGCGCTGAATATATATAGTTTATTATTTATTCAACCACTCGATAGTGTACCACATCTTTTTCAAAGAGATTGTTATGCTAATTTTTTATTCTAATGTAGATACCGTGACTTTGATCAAGAGGAGAATTGCACAGGATCATACTGCTCTTACCGTGCAGGAAGGTGAATTGATATCACTTCCTTCCGATTCAAGTATCGTAAATGCCATTAGAACCGAGTCGCCTGATTCGGAGATACAGTGGTCTCACAATGGCATTTTCCTCCAGGAGGAAGAGCGCAGATTAGAAATTAAGGATTATGAGATCGGTACATAACACAATATTCGCATATATTGTATTCATAATAAGTTACTATTATCTACGCTTACGTAGATAATTCCTTCTCTGATGTAAAATAACGGATGAGTTTGCTTTTTTCAATAATATATAAAGAATTTGTTTCTCTCGAAATTCGCTTTTTTCAATCCAAAATGTGAATTGGAAAAATGTTTTTTTCCGATTAACGAACGTGAATTTATCTTTTTTTAGTAATAAGTAGGTAATTTGCTTCTTTTCAGTAATAAGTAAAGCGGTATTGAACGACTCGGGCGTATATACGCTTACTGTACATCGGATAGACGGAACGTATATGATATTTAAGGTGGTAACTTTGGCAGTAGTGCCAATAAAAGAAAGTGTCACCATTCGCGAAACTCTCTCTATGAACGTAATGTGCCATTGCGTTATCCTCGGCTACATATATTCCGACCTGAAGGTGTATTGGATTATCGATGACAGAGTGTGGAAAGACTATGGCGTCACGTTGCCCGTAGCTGTGAATGTAGATCATCTCCCAGCTGTAAATAAATCTCATCACGGCACGTGGAAGTGCGTTGTGGAGCAAATTGACCTAAATTTCAAATGGACAACAAACATGATCCGCGTCAAAGGTAAGAGAAATAGACGGAATGATATCTAACTGTTCAAGTCCATAAATTTGACGTTAAGACATTTCGATTGATTAGCTATAGTTTATTTGGGGAATCTCCTTCACAGACTACATTGCATGTTTTTATGCAATTGTGCAAAATATATTTAGTTCGTTTATATGAATATAGAAAGAAAACTTATCGTTTTTACATATATGTGACGTTGGAGTCGAACTTGAAGTGAAAAATAAGTGCATCACATATGTATTACATTGGTAGCAAACGAGTTGAATATGTTGAAATTACAACTTGCATTATGTCGTATACAAGTTGCTTATTCATAATTCTCTATTAACATAAATATAAGTTCTTGGACCTCCAAATTGGCGTACTTATTTGATGGAGGATAAACTGACACGACCAATCTTTGGCTGGATGCCGAGCGAGGAATTCGTTGCTTACGCAGCATTGGCTATAATTCTGTTCTTGATATGTTGCATTATTATAGGCTCCACGCTTTATATCAGGTAATACATAATTATACAATGATATATTTCAAGCTGCATGCGCCCGCAGAATTATATATTAGAATTGTAATCAGTTTTTTCATTCATGTCTTATAACAGAAAAAGACTATTGTGAAGTAATAATAACGTATCATATATTTGATCCGTCGCAAGGTTTCGAGAAAGTTTGAAAGTCGACCAAACTGTGATAAGGGAGAAGATGCGAGTAGGAAAATCTAAAATTAAGAGTAGAAAAGTTACCGATGATACATCCGTAGAAACAGGAAGTGAAAGTACAACGGATGATACTGTTCAACTTCAAAAAGTACATACAGCAAATAATAATGAGCACGGTATAAGAAAGTCGGAAAACATAAATCACACCGGTATGAAATCACATCAACCGAGATCCAAAAGAGGAGTTTATTGGCCTCACAGGTTGTTCAGGAAATCTAAATCAAGACGTGAAGGTTTGTTTGAATAAAACATTCCTGGTAACTATAGGATCGTGTACTAAATAATTTCGGTTTTTTCAAATAAAGTAAAACAATTGCATTTTTACGTCTTTACAATTTACAATGTATGCGTCGTTTTGATCTGCGACCTTCTACTATCCTTCATAGTTTCATAATATTATAACGACATAAAAATTTAAACGTTACACTTTAGCTGAAAAATGTGGAATTGCTTTATTATACAACCTAATATGTTATTATTAAATTCCTATTTTATCGATTCTAACTGAAATTGCAGACTGGAGTAGTAAAACTAAGTCGACTCTCGATGAAACGTCAGAAAGAACGAATTTGATTACCGACAGCGATACCGATAAATAAGTAAGACTTAAAGCATGAAGGTCAAACGTGTATAACGTCCAACACGCAGACATCATAAAGACATCACATATCTTGCAGAGAGCGGATGTTGAATTTTTTCAAATTGATAATGCCAATCGATGGTCTCCTGACGGCTGCGTACTCTCGGATTGCTCGCCGTTTTGGTTGAAGCGGGCGAGCGAAAGGGACGACGCATGGCAGACGCCAGTGCGAATCAAACGAGATGAAGGAAGGGTAAATGAGAGAAAAAGGAGCTCCGAGAAAGAGAGCACTCTGGGCCCGGAGGGCGGGAAGGATTCGCTCCACAGGGAGGGAGAGCCGATCGACGGGGAGTGAGGTTGCCAGCAGATCGGTAGGACAGGCCCGAGGGAAGCGCAACGAAAACAGAGAAAAAGAAATGACGGAGGCTATTTGCTGGAAACGGTAGGGAGGGCAGGAGCGAGCGCGTCCTGAGTAGATAGATAGAGAGAGAGAAAGAGAGAGAAAGAAGAAGTGGACAGAGGGAGAAAAAGACAAAGAGCGAAGAGGCACAACCTGAAGGAGCACGAGAAGGATCGAGAGAGAAGCAGAGAGCGACAGGTGCGCGGGCGCCCACGTGGGTTCCTCTTTGAAGCGAATGGTGTAAGGACGAAGAAGCAGAAGAAGAAGAGAAGGAAGAAGAAGATAACGACGACGACGACGAGGACGACGACGACGACGACGACGACAACGACGACGAAGAAGACGACGGCGACGAAGACGACGAGAAGGATGACCGGCCGGCTTCCTTGTGCCGGTTGAACGGACCGACACTCGCTCTACACTCGAGGTTGCACTCGCGCCGAGTGTACGTGGTGGGGAGGTAGAGACTGCACTGGCGTAGGGCCTGTTTTCCATCGATAAATCACACTTCCTTTCACGGCTGCACGCGGGGACTGTTTACGAGTACACTCGTTACTTGTTTAATGAAATTGAGGAATCAAAAGACGTAGTAGAGCTCGTAACGACTTCCGACACCTCACAATGAATACGCTCGCTACGCTCGCCGATCTCGCGTTTCATTTTCATTGAACGCGCCCGATTTTTCGCGTCCCATTCCATTCAGATGGGGATATTGTTAGCGGCCGTATACGCTGGAGCGCGTCACGGCGGACGGCCGATGAGAAGCAAGCCAGCCGAAGCCGGTCGAATGTCCCTAAGGCTATACACCCTGACTACGCCGATGAAAAAGGCCGCGGCGAGGGCCCGGCGCGATGAGTGGGAAAAGGTGGCTCCAGGAGGGGGAAGGGCTAACCATTCGGTAGCAAATGTTGGTAACCCGTCGCAAGGTCAAGATCAGTCGGTTAATCCCGTCCAGTCGGCCGAGGGCCTTGCACCTTGCACGACGAACGATCCTGTCGCCTCTCTCTTTCTTTCTCTTCTCTCTCTGTCGTCTCGCGCTGCGTTTACGTGCGTAATTTCGCGTCCAACGCGCGGCAAATGCATGAATTGACGCACAATTAATGATCGTGGACGGCACCGCAACTTCGGGATCGGGCCAAGGAATCGTCGTCGGGAAACGTCTGGACTCCGTGGTTCTAAATGTCAATCCGCTCCGCGCCGGGACCTGTGAGCGATGATCTCCTCGTTCGACACGCGACGCGCTATCTGAGCAACTAGAGTGTTTCATCAGGAACACAGTTGATGTGTCTCGATCCTTACCTGCCGCGAGACCGAACGAGATACTCTGACAGCAGTGTCACGCGCCCACGGATGTGCTCCAAGTAATCGTTAGCAGAGTGGAGGTATCGCTGCGCCGGTGGATCCCCAAAAACATTCGCCACCTGGACCTCTGTTATGGAAACTTGCGTCCTGATACCTAGAGAATTCTCCTTGGTCCTCGCCAGTGATCAGTCGTCCTGCAAGAGCCTCTTCAAAAATGACTCGGGCACGTTGGTCACGGATGTGAGAATTTCGGTGTGGTCGAACGTGTTCATCCCGTCGGGCACCCTGATATATCCGTTTCAAGGATCAATCCGATTCGACAAGATCGATCTTTACTCCCTTCTCGATGACAATGACGTAAGTATGAACATACGTACGTTTCCACAGTCAGCTTCCTTTATTATTATACAATTTTATCCTATCTCTAAGATTTTTCAAGGAACGCTTCTTTTATCGATTTGTGATCAATGCGCGTACAGCTGTAACTCGAGATGATCTTCTTTTAACTTGAAATAATTTTCTTTTAGCTGAAAATTATTCTCTTCCAGTTTGAAATTATTCGTTTTTCACTTGAAATTATTTCCTTTTAACATGAAATTACTTTCTTTCATGTAAATATCAGGCGTTTACTTGCAGTTAATAAGATGATATAGTTTTCCTATCTATTTGTTCGCGTTTGATAGTCGATTCGCGAAAAACTTTTCTCATTCAATCGGGAAACGTTAGCTTCAGGTCTGATCACTCGGCCGGCGGCCGATGCAAGAATGGAACGAAAGAGAAGCTGATACTCGATGAAAATTAAGAGTCACCTTTCGTGTATGCGTGTCGGAGGGAAAAAATTCGACATCGATACCGGCCGAGTTCTCGATCGCCACTCATTAAAGCGATGTGCTTCTAGATCAGACGCGAGTACGGCTGTTACGACGAGGTCTTCTTCTCGAACTACAATCTTAACAAGCGTCAGTGCAATTGGATAAGGTTTCTACGTATCGTCCAGTCGTACGATGAGCAAGTTAATCTGATCGGCACGAAGGTAAAAGGTACGTCGAGAGCGGCGCTCAAGCCGTTCAGCTAGATTCCTTAATTCTTGAACGTTAATGTGCAAACGCTTGCTAATTGACATTCATGATTTCCACACATATAATACGAAGAAAAGTAAATACATGAAATAGAAACAAACAAAGCATATACATACACTATAATATTAGGTCTACTTTTTTTAGCTGAACTGCCTGAACTGGTGCAGACTAATGCAATAAGCTGGAGCGAAACAAAATACATTTGTCTCCCCCTAACTTATCGCACCAGTGTGCATCAGTTCAGGCAGTTCAGCTAAAACGAACAGACCTATAGATTTTTATCGACAACTGACGACAAGTGAACATCAATCTTTTGTAGTCTTATGTCCGCATTGACATTGTATTTCGTTGATTGTATGAATCAACTGTTTACTTATTAATGTCTATGGCTGAGGAGTGATACTACGTATGCCTGATATTGAAGATCCTCAGAAGAAACAAAGAACTGTTTTGGAAATTCATTTTGTTCTGAACGATCAAATTTTCTATATTTGTTCTTTTTAATTTTGAACAGAAGTAAAACATAGTTTGTTTTACTTTCGTTCAAACAAAACATTGGTTAGTTATATATTATGTACTAATTTTATGTATTATTATATATTATATATTTTTATTATTAATAAATATTAATATTTTTAAATTTTTAATAAATTGTGAAAAAATCTTAGGTTCGCTGAACTAAAAAATCAGAAAAGATCATTTTTATATATATGACCAAGATAGCACAAATGTATAAAAGATTTTTTAAAGATTTTTAAAAAGAAAGAATAGAACGTTTTTGGATATCTTTAAGATATCTTTTAGAAACTTATACTTTTGTCAGAGAAGATATCGCTTCTTAGCTATCCATATACCGAGTGTTTATCGTAACGGTATCCATTGTATTTTTACCAGTTGCAATGATTAGACAGAAAAAAGTTCTAGGTCCAATTAACCAACTTTTAAGCGACAATAAAATGTAATAGTAAAAATTTTTTAAACATTCTTTCTTCGTAAAAAATTAACGTCACTTTCATTTTTTTATATAAAATTCTATATTGTTTCTAGTGTTATAAAGAGAATCAAAACATATTCAGTAGTGACTCATAATGTTCATTGACTTCACAAAAAAAAGAAATATAGTAAAATAATAATGAAAAATTTCAACGTATAACACAGAAACACAAATGGAAATATTCTAATAAATGTAACATATAAAACTCTATTACAAAGGGCGGAATTTTGCAAAAAATGGATTACATTTCGAATATGACTTGAGCATCTAACGATGCTAGGAAACATTATGAGATACTATTGCATTTGTTTTAATCTTTTTTTTTATAATACTAAGGTTAAAAACATATATCATTCTATTTGAAAAAATGAAAATAATAATCTTCATTTTTTTACGAAAAAAATTCATTATTTATTAAAGAACGTTTTTGAAAGTCTTCTTATTGCATCTTATTTTGCCGTTTAAAAACTGATTAATTACATCTAGAACTTTTCCCTGTCCGGTCATTGCAACTGATAAAAAATAGTACATACCGTTACAATGAACATCCTATATAGTATATTGAGCATAATATAATGTAAATATGTCGTTGCATTATTAGTTAAATATACCGAGATATTGAAACACACGCAAACTACGCGACATTGTCGCGGAATACACGCACTTCTACGAGTTGGTTGAGAAGAAAAGTTTAAAACAATTAGGATCGCAAAGAGTTAACATTCATTTTGCTATTTCGCCATTTTCAGGAATATTTTTTATTTCCTTTTTTCCGTCTATTGTGTTACTATCGCGCGCGTCGCGTGAATAACTTACTCTTAACGATTCCAAATGCTTCAGATTCTTAAGAATCTTAGATAACGTTTTTAAAGAATCGTTTTTAAAGTCTCTCGTCGATGATATATTGATGTTAATATTTCCCAGTCCGATGCTTCACTATCTTACTCTTTTACGCTTTCCTCTCCGCTTTTTTTCCACAGGTGAACCTATATTCGAGGTGATAAAAGACGTTCAACCGGATACGGAACTGGTGGCTTGGTTCCTGCCAGTAACGCAGCAGGATTTCGTTATCATCTCGCATGATGTGTGCTCTAGATCGGCTATCTACAGGTGCACGATCGACTCTATTTTAGACGGTAAGTGAAAGACGCACGCGATAGTCAGGCTTGCTTGCGAGCGTCGCCAATAAATATCGTTCAGAAAGTGCGTGTGAAATCTATTCGAATGCATGCCTTTAAAATTTATCGAGAATATACAGTAAATTTAGACTACCCCTATATCCATGTTGATCAGTCATCGCTATTTCAACCGGACAAATGGTGATTCTACGTGAAGATGTAAATGATAAAACAAAAAAATAACGCAGGATATAATTATGTCAAACAGAAATTGAAAACAAAGAAATGACGTCATTAACTTCTGTTAAGGTAACACACGCAAAAAAAAAATTAGCTTCCAGAGCTAAAAAATAGCTGTGGCAGATAAGATGTATCACTGAAATAGGGACAGCTAATGTTGATATTACCGAAGCTAAATTTATTCGCTGTTTAAACTTAGACACTACAGTGAGAAATATTAGCTGCTAGAAACAAATGATTATAGCAAATGATTGTAGATGTGCGGCAAACTTCTTTAATATATGCATACGATAAGAAATTTAGGAATAACTGCAATTTCTTAGTTACTTGAAATAATGTGCATTTTTAATGTCACCTAATATATTTGTATTTCATAGCGAATGCATTTTAGCTGTCAGCTAATTCTTAGCAGCTAAACGATTAGCCTTTTGACTAAGTTTGAATCAGCTACCACGCGGTTTAGCTGATATTGCTAAGTCATTTTTTTGCGTGCAGTATCATGAAGCGAGTTTCGCAAGAATTTGATGAAATTTACACTACTATGTATAATTAAATATTATCTAACTATTTGTGCAATTAGAAAAATATTGACCATTCAAAAGCTGAGATATTTGCAACTAAAGTTGACACTTTTCTTCAAACTATTTTTAATTTCTACTTTTAATATCTTTTAATATCTTCTAAACTATATATGAGATTTTGATGAAAATTTTCTATGATATTCATACAAATTACATAGAAATATACAAACATTATATACAAATATCTGAATTACTGACCATTTTGCTTTTAAAATACAACAGTAGAGAGTTAATGATTTACATTAATACTTAAAATACATATACAGAGTGTCTGATATAGAGTGTTTCATGTAGATAAACTAAATAAAATTTTCTCCACCATTTTGCAAATAACAAAATTTTGAATTAAAGAAGATTAGTAGATGAGTGGTGATAGCAACGCTTGCAGTCGTGTGCTCGTAAATTAGATCAAACTGAATAAAAATATTTTATACTATTTTGCAAATAAGTACATGAATTTTTGAGTTATTAATTAAAGAAGATTGGCGGATAATTGCGTGTGATAATGCTCTTTTTAACTAATAACGTAAAATTTACGTAGTTATTTAAATAATAGTTTTTCGTATTTGTAGTATTATGTACACGGAGAATTTTATAATAAAAATTACCACAGGATTTTGTAACCGAGAAATAGACCGGCATTTTGCAGAAATAGACCGATAATTCATCTCTATCCTTTCATTTCATACTTGCTATTTATATTTTAGGAATTGAAATATACTATCAAAATACTCTCTCGCTATGTTTCTCTAGCAAAATCTACTATATTTCTAACAAAATTAATTATGTCTCTTAGAGCAAGATAAACCTTATTAGCAATCTACACCTGGACTAAAAATATAATAAAGTTGAAAAAAATTTATATGAAAAGAAACTATAATATTCTCTCCGTGTATATATATATTTATCTCAATTTCATTTCAAATTTACAGTGACACTTAGATAATGAAATAAATAGAAAACATAATTTTTGATAAATAGTAGATTCATAAGCGATCCCTTGATTCGGCATTGTAACACGAGATCTAGCGATACAACTACCTTAATTTTTTTGTTTTTCAGTTTGTCAATGCTCCAACTCGATTTTCTCGAAAATAAAGTCTTATGTGAAAAATTTACTTACTAACTATACACACACACAAATTTCGACTTACAGTCTGTTTGATAAAAGCGTGTACGGCAAAACTTGATAAATAATAATAAATAATTTATTGAAATAATTTGGAATAAAATACACACATACTTGATTAGAACTGTGATGCTTTATTAATAACTTGTCTAGTCGCCTTCATTATTAGTAATTGCCTGGTATCTCCGAGACACTTTCAACTAATTTTATGGGATATTTTGGAGGTAAAGATCTCCATATCAATCGAATTTGTTGAACTAACTCCTTGACCGACCAAATTTTCTTTCCACGAAGTTTAAACTTCATCAAGGACCAAACGTTTTCGATAGGATTTGCATCCGGTGGCTATGACGGCCAATCCAGTAATTCAACATCATTTTTTTACTTCCACGCGATACAAAGGCAACTTCAATGTTTAGGATCATTGTCCTCTTGTAGTATCCATTTTTCGTTTTTTTCCATAAATCATGTTTAGGCAGATAGTAATAAAGCCTTCTCATAAATTTAATTAAATTTTAAGCTAGTGTTTAAGTTGTTTGTGCAGATATGCAAAGTGCCAAATCCTTGCGTAGAGCCACGTTTCGGTAAGTCATCGACGTTTTTCACCTCTAAGTAGCGATTCACTCATTTATTTACAAATGCTTTTGACTTTCTCATGTACTTAGCAGCCGCTTGGCGTGACATTTTTTGTTCTTTCGAATGTATACAAAGAAACATGGTTTTGAAACGCGATGTGTATTTGGCACTTATGGCGAAATATATATTTTTATTACGAAGATCGAATCACAACTAAAGCTTTATTAATAAAGCATCTTAGGCGAAAGGTGGTCCCTCCACCGGTTTCTGTTTAAATTTCGCGTCTACCTGTTTATATGTAAAAGTTTTGCCGGACACACTCTTATCAGACTGTATTTTTCGTTTAATCATTCGATCACTCTGCTTTCACGGTTACATCGTCAATTAACAAACGTTGCACATAAATCCCGCACATGCGAGAGCTATTTACTCAGGCAATTTTGAAGCACATACGGGGATCGCTCTCTTTTGCGGAAAGAATTCCTTTCACGGTATACAAGCTTGTACGAGCACGGCTACCGAATTTATCGTCCCTACCTAATTCCTTCGCGAGTCTCTCTCCTCTGAGAGTTTACAAGAAACGCCGCGTCCCGAAGTTGTTGTAACTAAGGATCGTCTAGCTACCCAGCATCCATTGTACTGTCTTTTATCTTCGGCGAGCGCGCGCGACGGCGACGACGACGGTGGCCGCGGTCTACGCATTTGAATCGGAAATCGCGCACCTTGTGATCCGTCCGACAAAAATACCGCCGTGTATTTGCATTTCAGATCGTTTTCGGTAATCTCATTGCTCCTTTTCCGATTGCGCCGCGATCACCCCTGCGCAGCCGCGGGAAGATGAAAGACTAAAGTGGAAGTTGTTCCTCACCGATTTTCACGAGATCCGGCGATTTTCTAGAAAAAAAATAACAAAAGAATAACTTTATATTTTTACAAATTCTAAAATTTACAGCGTTCGTTTTACAATATTCAATTAGTCTTAACTATTTATCAATTATTTCCCCCAATCCTTTCTTCTCGATTAAAATTTATTAAAGAATGAGAATACGGCTTTCATATACATAATCAGTAAGAAACTAAGGCAATAAGAGTCAATAAAAGCAGATTGATGGTTGCGATCAATTAATCCTCAATATTGTTATTCTTCAGAAATAATAATGCAAGAATTAATTAATCGTAATTGCCAATCTGCGTAGTTTTTACCCGATAAAAACAGGTACGTTGTATTCACATCGATTCTATGCGATTTTCGTAAATATAAATGTCATCCACGAGTTATTCATATGCATGTAACGTTTATTTTCAAATCGAAATATTTTATTCTCGCAATATCAACGTAAATTTCATTATTTTATTGAATAATAGAGATATTAATTAAAAAAGTTTGGTGAATAATCAGGCATCCCATACAGCACAGAAAGGTTGCAAGAACACTGCATAGATATTACACGGAAACATTGTAACATTCCATGTTGTGAAACGTTGATGCAACGTTTCCGCAAGGTTGCAGCAATGTTGAAATGTTGTCCGTCATTAAAAACGTTACAATGAAACATTGTAGTAACATTACTGTGGAATGTAATATAATAGTTGCACTAAGCAGAAGAAGCAGCTTTCCACTGCGTTGTTAGTAGTTTTGCAACTGTTGTAAGAATTTCTGCTGAGAAACACTTAACGGTTAACGCTTTTCCATTATTTTTATTAAGTGGTCCGATATGTTAAAATAAATATGTTAGAATAAATAACGACTGCTTAGTAAACATGTTGGTATAAATCAATGTCATTCAATAGAAAATCTTACAACAATTGCAAAGCTGCTGGCAGCACATAATAAAGTTGAACTGCGTTTTTTTGTTAAATGTACAAGTATAGATTGGACGTTATATGGTTCCATACAGCACAAAAAGGTTGCAGGAACATTGCATAGATATTACACGGAAACATTGTAACATTCCATATATGTTGCGAAACGTTGATGCAACGTTGCCGCATGCTTGCAGCAATGTTGAAATGTCCGCCCTTAGGAAAGTTACAATAAAACATTGTAGCAACGTTACGGTGGAATATAATATAATGGTTGCATTGAGTAGATGAAGCAGCTTTCCACTGCGCTGTTAGCAGTTTTGCAACTGTTGTAAGAATTTCTGCTGAGAGACACTTAGCGGTTTATGCTTTTCCATCATGTTTATTAAGTCCGGCGTGTTAAAAGTATGTTAGAAGAAATAGCGACTGCTTAGTAAGCATGTTGGCGTAAACCACCGATATCGCTCAATAGAAAATCTTACAACAATTGCAAAGCTGCTGGCAACGCATAAAGTTAAACTGCGTTTTTTTTTGTTAAATGTACCAGTACAACCGATACAATAGTGAACACAACATGTTGCTACAAACATGATAGCATATAATGCAGATTGTAACAAATAAATACTACGAGCACAAATAGGCAACCAAAAAAACATATGTATAATAGGTTTGTAATTGTTTTGTATTCAAAATGCAATTAAATCTTAAATAATAATAAAATAATAATTAATTAATAATTAAGTTCAGCTAAAAAAACAGACCAATAAATAACGCGGCTTATGAAGGCATAATAAAGATATAAGAAAATATAGACATAAATAAATATTTCAATTTCTATAATTAAGATACGCCTATATCATACATGTATTATGCATAAATTACAGCATTATAGTTTTTAATTATTTATAATGTTTCTGCAATGTTGTTTTAACATTTCCGATGGATTGTTACAATTCCATGTCTATGTTATGTTTCTGCAATGTTACGTTGAAATTTGAAATAATGTAATGTAACTGCAAGCTTCTGTGTTGTATGGGATGATATGATAGATAAGCTGTTGTGACGATGTGTGCTATTGTGCTTTGTACATTAAATCAAATTGAATATAAAAGTTCTTCATCATTTTGCAAATAACCATATAGATTTTTAGATATTAATGAAAAAAACGTATTACATGACTATACGCGATAACGTACAAATTTTCTTTACTTAATATCTAAAGATCTATATGGTCATTTGCAAAATGGTAGAGGACTTTTTTGTTCATTTTAATCTAGTGTATAAGTATACAACGACAGATGGCGTTACATCTACCATATCGCGCGTGATTATTCACTAATCTTTTTTAATTAATATCTCGAGATTTATTCGAATATCGCTAAACAGTATGGGACTTTTATGTTCACTTCTATCCGTTCTACATTTCCACAAAAATTGCGGAGAGTCTGGGACGCCTATATAGGTGATTCTTTAGTAAAAGAATTGATGTAATACGGTTAACTCATGAATTAGTTTCGGTTTGTTGAAGTTCAAATCCCACCATAGTAAGCGTGTTTTTCAAATATAATATTATATTAAATTAATTAAATGACTAATTTCAGAATAATTATACACTAACACGTTAAGAATAACTTCAATAAAAAAAGAAGTAATTAAATGCTAGTAAAAAATATTTTATTTTAGACGCCAAACATTTTTGGTTCAGGAAACTAACAAGTGGTAATTAAATTTTTTTATTGTAATTATTAAACATTTAGTTGGTCCAAATTTAATCAAATTGTTTGGTCAGGTGTACTAAATTTTGGTTTTGATAACAAACTTTTTTTCAGTGGCAATAGTACATTTTATGATATTTACAATTTTAATCGCTTCTTTGGATTGATTGTGTAAGGCAATATGTATCGCTAAATCGCAAGTAAATATTATATTTTATGGAAAGGATTTTATGTTACGTGGATATGTCTCCATAATTTGAGAAATTTTCATGAGGATTTCCATGTCGAATCGATAACCTCATCTGTGATTCTGTATTGTTTTTGAACGGATCATCCAGTCCATTGTTCATGTAGATTCTATGTCGCTGGTCCACGTAATAGGAACGTGAGTTCCACGTATCTGTTTTTGTCGAATATTAGTCCAGTGTCTTACAAAAATTATTAATATTGAAGAAAAGACTTTAAATTCTAAAGTAATAAAAATTCTGAAGTACTAAAAATTAACAACAATTAAGAATTAAGAAACAAGGATATTCTTGTAAGATGGAGAAATAATTCCTGGGAATGTCACTTTCTAAGAATAAGTTTTATTCATATCTCTTCCTTCCTCTCTTCCTCTGAATCTTGTTATTCAATTTTTTTAAATAAAAAATTCACTTGAGATCGAAGGCAATGCCAAGCTTTTATATGTATTATTTACTATGCAGAATCACCACTGGACCTATCGATGACGCTACTTGCTCATCATTCTCTACCACCAATATCACACTCCTATTACGAAATGGATGAGTACGAATCGACGTCCGAGGAATCCTCATCATCCACGCTGTCGTTGGCCGGCGATCACCTCGATTGCAGCATCCTGACGACGATTAAGAGAGGAGAGAGGGTTTTATTGCCCTGCGAAGTCTGCGGCAAATCCTTCGACCGGCCGTCTCTACTGAAACGGCATATGAGAACGCACACAGGTACAACACGAGCTTCCGGAATTCGCGATACTATGTTAAATTTCACGTCCCTTTGCAAAACATGCGTAGCTAATCAAATTACCTTATCTTTTTTGGACATTTTAATTTCGTGCTTGCCGTCTAAAAGATAATTCTAATTGGAGGCAAAATTCCTGTTATAAAAAATGTACGGAAGTTATATGTAAATCTCCAAGAGCAACATTAGATTTAACTCAATTCAATTAAATCCGATTAATTTAATTCAACTTATTTAATAACAATTTTAGACTAAAAAATTCCTATTACAGAAAATTGACGAAACTTATGTAAATGCAACGTTAAATCTTTGCTCAATTTTATTAAATTAAATTTAATTAATATCCAATTTATTTAAATAAATTTCATTAAATTTTAATAAATTTAAATATACTTTTCTCCTATTTCTCACTCATTTGAGTGAGAACTTATTTTTGCTTTTCATTTTTGAGATTTTCATCAATTTGCATTATCTTGCCGTAAACAATTCGAATTCGGACTTTAGATTAATCTATTCGAATCGGATAATCTAAGTGGAAGAAGAACGCAAAATACTTCTGCGCAATCGGATGGGATAATTTTGTTTTCACCTTTGGATCGGGCAAGTTTTATACCGAGTTCGCGTGATTCGCGAGCTGCGAAATCGTGTTCATCGTCGATGATCGAGATAAATGACGCGCGCTCGGAGCAGAGGGACGTCGTGCCGCGTTGTCCGCGTATAAATCGAGCCAGAAATCGTATAAAACGAAGGGTCAGCGCGGTAATTCAGGATCGGTATTAAATTGAAGGGGAGAAACCGCATGTCTGCATGGTGTGCAACAAGGGTTTCTCAACCTCGAGCTCGCTGAACACGCATAAGCGCATCCACAGCGGCGAAAAACCTCATCAGTGCCTCGTCTGCGGTAAGAAGTTCACAGCCTCGTCGAATCTCTACTATCATCGGATGACTCATATCAAGGTGAGTACAGTCCGCGTGTGTGTTCATCGTATGCGTGTTTCTTCACGCTTACATCGTCCCGATATCTCGAAACCCATATATATATATATATTACATATGTTGTGCATTACAATCGCATTCTCTCTTAATTTTCCATTCCGTCTAAGTACGGATGAGATTAATCCACGTCCGTCCGCAAATCAAGGCGATTCAAAGTAGAAAAGCATGAATCACAGTAGCTGATGGTCCACACCGCGAAAGGTTTAATGATTTATTCATCGACAAGAGTTTGGTTAGTAATCGTTCGTAATTGAAAAACTAGAAGAAGATAACTGAAGAAAAGCAAGATACGACAGCACGTTTTCGGCAGGAAAACGTCGACTTGGAATTGACGAGTGTATCATTAATCCGGGAACGCACAGCGGCGCACTTGCGCTCGCGCCTCGTCGCGCGTTTTCATCTCTTTGCCTCTCGTATTCCGCGTAAGCCTGGTAGAACTGGAGTACCCAATAAGAAAGACGGAGCAATGATCGTAGGAGACGGCCGAAGGAAGAGGAAGAGGAGAAGGTGGACGAGGAGGATGAGAAGGATGAGGAGAAGAAGGGAGAGAGGGATGGGGAGGAGAGAGGTGAGCGCGCGAGAAGAGAGCGAGGAGATGCAAAGTTTTTATTTATCACAGCGGAAACCGTATGAGTTTCTCTAATCCCCCCCGAAGTAATGATATCTCGGGAGCCATATAGGTTGGTCTGCCATCAGCTACTGTAATTGGCCCATTACTTGCTACCGCATGGAATGCAATCCAATTAGAGAGACAGAGAACGTACCCGGAGGCTCCTCGCCGCGTTACTCACCCTCCTGCCCCCTTCCCCCCCTCTGTCGCTGCTGCACACGTCCTGCCCGTTCTGCTGCTCCTGCTGTTCCTACTTTTGCCTCCTCTCTTCCCCGGCCCGGCTTCGCCGGTTCCTCATCCCCCCCTCCCCCTCGCGCTTCAGCCTCGCGTGTCGCTTTGCTCTGATTTTCCCCTTCGGCTTCGCCGTCTTCGCCCTTCTTCTCGCTCTTCTTGCCGCGAGATCCATCCGAATTTTGCCTTCTTGTCCTTCCCACGAAATTCCTGGCGCGACAGATGCTCCGAACAAAAATCGGACGCGCCAATCGCTGGTGAATAACGACGTGGCCCGCATCTCCGGCTGGCCACTACGCTTTTCGCACTTTCTTTGGGCGAGGCGCTTTTGACAGATTCATCACTGTTCGATGCTTTTCGCATTATTGGTCGAGTTTTTTAGTTCATCGATGGATCCATCGCATGATGCGCAAATGCAACGTTTCGCTGTATTTACGCATCATGCGATGGATCCATCGATGAATTAAAAAACTCGCCCATCGTCTCGTCGCAATGAGCGAAATTATTTGAACGGCTCGCCCTTTCCCCCTTTCGGTTTCCGTTTCCAAAAACTCTCTTCTTCATTTTCGTCGAGCTCGACTTTATACTTTTACACGTGACGGAAAAATCGATATACCGTAAAAGAAAAGTCAAGTGAAGTCGTAGAAGAAAATAGAGTTGATCAGATATCGGAAGCGAAACGTCGAAATTGCATCATGTACCGTAGAACGTTTTTCTCGACGCGGAGTCGCCGCGATCTAGAGAATTTTTCGTCGATAATCATCGGTTCTTGGAACTGATTATGTGGAAGGATTAAAATGGGACATCTCGTGTAACGTGTGTAGAAACCTGCCAATTATTTTTCCGCGCTTCTATGAGCGCAGCTGCGAGCGTCGATGAAGCCTGCGCTAACGCACGCACGCACGCACGCACGCACGCACGCACACGTGCTCGCGGACAGCGCTGGAGCAACGCGCGCGCGGATGCACCGCGGTGCGACTATCGGCAGGTGCATCCGAGATTACGCGTGTAAACGAGGGAGCGTGTGCTGTGCGTGTATACGTACTTACACCGAGCGAAGAGGAGCGACGTGCGTTGCAGGCGGCCTTAACGAGCCGCGTGCGCACACCGGTTTTAGTTTAGCAAGGTTATTTGCTAAACGGCCTTCCTGCCTCTGTGAATAATTGCCACTGAACGAGAGCGTGGCCGAGCTATTTTGAATCGTTAGTCAAAAAGAAGAAGTAAGGTCAAAAAAGAAGAGAGAGAGAGAGAGAGAGAGAGAGAAAAAAAAAAGGAAGAGAGAAGTATCACCTCGCTGCTGAAGCTTTCCACGGAACGTGTTTGAAGTCGCGCGTATCCGGACGTCTCGGACGAAGTTGAAGTTGACTTTTCCTCAGCGAAGAATCCGCGAGACGACATTTGATTGGCAAAGTTACGCGAGAAATTGCAACTTCGGATTTTTGCAGACTCGAGAAATTCACTTACGTTCGCGGAGATGGTGGAATGTTCTTTACATATTCAAAGTTGGGCGATGGCTTTCACGATGAAGTGAGAAGCGAACGGACTATCATGTCTGACATGATTGTGATTGTAATTGGTGGATCGTTCATTTAATCTCTTCTGGGATATTGACACGTATATGTACGTTTAGGCATGTACAATTCTTTTTTTTTAATTTCAACATTATTGACAAAGTTATAACGAACAGTATTGTGAATAAACATTCACCACAAAATCCCAGGAGAAAAGGGGAAATTCTGTCACATAATTATGACAAGTGGCATATCTGTATCATTTTGAAGTTAAATAATTTTCTTCTAATTTTAACAAATTCGTTCCTGAAAAAATTAAAGGACAGTTCTGCGTTGGGCAGATCACAAAGATGTCATATTACGCCTGTATCCACTATCAGGATTGCAAGTAATTAGTTACTCTTTTTAATTAATTATCATTTGATAATTAATAGACTATTTATATTATAAGCCAATTCAATTGGAGGCCGTTTAATTGACAATTGATTTCAATAAATTCAATTAAAGATTGTTATATTGGCGATTATTTCAACGAATTTAATTAAAGGTTACTTAATTGACGATCGATATGAGCAAGATCGATATGACTAAATCGATTTAATCAAGGATTGCTAAGTGATAATTGATATGACGAGTGTCCACCTCAATACGAATCCTACTTAGCGCTTCTCAATTATCGGCATCTCACGATGCTCCGGGAGGATATAAATATTATCCACAAAATCAATTCTAACTTTGATTAATCAAACGCTCTTCGATTGAATCAACGGAATTTGCTCATATCAACCGTCAATTAAATCGATTAAATTTGCTAAATTCAAATGTTAATTGAATGATTTTTTATTCCCTTCGCTCATATCAATCGTCAATTGAATCATTTTTAGTTGAATTGGTTGAAATTAATTGTCAATTATTTGAATTGAAACGTATTTGTACAAATCAGTTGTCAATTATTTGAATTGAAACATATTTTTACAAATAAATTATTAAATTGAGAAAAATTTAATTGACATTTTTACAATTTTGTCCACTACATAGTATTTGCTCGATTCAGATTTGATGCTGCTTGCTTCGTGGACATTTCGTGAAAATTTCAATTCACTTCTTCAGAGAGAGAAACAATCTGAGAGTTGTCAGGTTGTTGAAATAGTTTCAGAAATATAAAATGTTTACGACGTTATAACCAAATCTACGAAGGGCGCGGGCTGCAATCCAGACCGACCATATCTCTGCATTGCGAGAGCCTCCAATGTCAGATACATAGCATCGATTGTATTTTCAGGAAAAACCACACAAGTGTTCACAATGCTCGAAGTCATTCCCGACGCCAGGCGACCTGAAGAGCCACATGTACGTGCACAATGGTCTGTGGCCGTTCAGATGTCACATCTGCAGCCGCGGTTTCAGCAAGCCCACCAACTTGAAGAATCATATGCTCCTCCATCTGGGCAGATGCTCCAATAAGAAGTACATCAAGTCGATCTCCGACTTGTGACCGAATGCGAACTCGTGAGGGTTCCGCGGAGAGTCTCGAGGATTGTTGACGGAGACGTAACGTGCCATTGCTGGTCAGACATGCGAGTCGACATGAGGATGACCTATGCGCAGGTGCCATCCACTCGTGTTGCGATTGACTCAGGTATATGTGAAAGCGCACTTATTGAATGACGCAAAAAGTTCTCGCGAAGTCTCTTAACCCTGACCGTTATCTCCTACGTCTCTAAAACGTACTCACATCTCTCCCGTTTTTTTCTTCATAAATGTATCATATAAAATTGAAAGAAGAAATCAATGTTTATTATACATAAGTAATTAAAAGCATAAAAATATCCAGTCTTCTTAGAAAATTTTTTGTTGAGTACTTTTTTAATGAAAATTTTAAAGGGAATAGTCTGAGGGACGCATGAGGTTACGCTAACACATAATCTACACAGGTAACTGTCAGGGTTAATTACTCGATTCGCCGATTACGTTGCACCCAGTAAACATAGAATAACAGTAACATTACACCAATGTTATAATTTCTCACTCAATAATGTAAGTGCGATATAGCACGTGTTGTACATAACAGTTACATGGTTATGTGAAAATTTATAGCATTGACGTGTTATATTGCTGTTACTCGATGTTCACTCTGGGCTATTGTATATAGTTATTCGTTCGTAATAATATATCGTTTGTGACTCGTCTTCGCATGCGCCATTAATACGGATACGATGAAAGTAACGCTTCCGTGACTGAGCGAAATAATTCGGCATCCCTTGCTTATTTCCATGAGTTTCTTTTTGAACACTTGACAGTTTGAGAATATTCTCTTGCAAGAAGATATATCAAGTATGAGCTTCACTCAACAAGAATCGATCGGTCACCCAAGGTTATTAATTATCTCGTTTATGAAATTATTATCTGAAATTGATCGAGTAACCGGGACGTAATAATAAATAAGCTATGTACAGATACAGACAAAAGTTCTTTGGAACGTAAGTTGCCATTTTCTATAATAGTTGTAAGTAACAATTGAAAGGTATATTAAAGACGTCCGAATAAATGGACTTGGATAATGCATAATAAATATATATATATATATATATATATATATATATATATATATATATACATATATATACATATACTTACATGTATGTGTATGTATATGCGATAAGATTCTCATTATATTGACATTACTTCCCTACTGGGGAGCACGGCGACAATTTCCGTGTATCGACCTTGCCTATTGTTCAGGTATCAGCAATTTTTAAATAAATATTACCTGCAGATATCATAGACTATTTATTTGATTGTATCGTGGTGATGGCCGATGCGTGCTTTTTTTAACCGGTGTAAACGCATTGGAAATCGCGCACGGGATGCATTACTCGTTCGCAGATACTTCTCGTTCCATTTTTTGTAATTTCGAGGGTCGGAGTACAAAACGATGGGCCACGCGCGTGTCCTCTGTAAATACTCTATTAAACAGAACACAATTTGGAGATGTTTAGATTTTCACGTTCTTCTTCTTGTTTTGTTTTTTTTTTTTTCTTTCTTTCTTTGTTTCTCTTTTTCTCCCTTACGCAACTTCGCCATATTAATAATCTTTAATAATTATCGTCATCTTTTTAATACGCATCACTACACGCCGCCGGAGCCGCCGCTGCCGAGTCCGGCTTTCGTGTCGACAGGTACTTGTTTCTGGAAACAGTCCTCCAAGAACTGCGCCATCGAGAGGTACAAATGTCCCTTCACGCCCGCCAAGGTGTGGCTTACGTCCGGATAGACCTGTGAATGCATCAACGAGGATATCGTTGCATTAGTTTGCAAATGTGTTAAGTATGACTTTTTTAAAAACAGACAAAACATGTTTCACGTTTCGTATTACAAAGTTATCAATGCATTAGTGTGTTAAATACCATACGTGTGTTAAATACCAATAACCAGACTCTTTAAGAGAAGGATTTGAATGTTTGTAACTTTGTAATATGAAACATAGACCACGTTTTATCTGTTTTAAAAAAAATCAACACATCTGTGAACTAATACTTTGATATGTACTTTCGTGCATCAGTCAGAAATTTTTAATTTTTTGTTATATTTAACTCATAGTTAATTCTAATAATAATATAAATGTATTATGTTCTGTTTCAAGAATAAGGCACAGCGGAAGCTATTATATTAAAGGTAAGATAATACAATATTCGACGGTATTTATTAATCCTTTGAGTGCGGCGCTCTTTGGAACTAAATGACACCGAGGACGGAATATTTTGTGCTGTTACAAGTTAATTAATGATTGAATTAACTCCTTGAAAAATCAAAAAGCAATGGACAGATAAATAAAGTCTCTTATCATCGTCGCTGAAATACATAAAAGAACATTATATAAAATCATTATTTAAAATCAATTGATAAGTGTTGCTTATATCGACAATACAAGCTGAAGAAATTCGTTAGACTCAGACCCTAACACAGTTCATTAACGTTACATTGGCCCAATATTGGTTACATTAGCATACATCCCAATGGGCCAATATATATTCAATATTCGTTATAAATAAAATGTAAATAAATTGCCAATATTATACAAAATATGATGATTGTACTAACATTGACATATATTGGGAGTATATTGGGCCGATATAACTCAATATGTAGCCAATATTGATAACAAATGAATTATTAATATTCAGAATTCTATATTGACTATAAAATACAAAGTATTTACAATATTGGACCAATATCGGATATATTGGGAGTTAATTTGTAGCCAATATTTCCCCAATAAACTATGCTATTAATATATTTGATATATATAATATATATACTAATATATTTGATATATAGGCCACATCGATGATGTTTGTTAGACACATATAGAGTAAGAAAAAAATATCGGTAAAATATCTCAAAAACAACTTATTTTAGAAAAAAAAGTTTCAGACAAAAGTGATAGAGTTTAAAAGGACCAATTTATACATGATATAAATTATGATATTTATTTAATCCTGGAATTATCATGACAGGACTCTTTTTAGGATTATTCCAAGGTCAAATAAATATCACTAATTGACAGATTTTTTGAAAATGTACTTTTCTTAATTACTTTTTTAATATACTTTTGTCTGAAACATTCTAAAATGACATTTCCAAGACATTTTGCCGGTTTAATACTTTTCTCTCACCTTGTATATATATCCATAGCACTCAAAGGACTAAATTTTTCGTTCTGATCTGTAAGAGACGATATTAAAGTACCTGCTGCCGAAAGAGTATGCCTTTCTTAGCGAGATGGCGGGCAAGCGCCATGGACTGTTGGAATTGGACGTTGTCGTCCGCAGTCCCGTGCACCAAATAAAACATCTTGTCATGCAGATGCTCGACTTTGTCGTAAACATTGGATTCAGCGTAGCCTTTGTAGTTCGACGTTACGTTCGGTAGACCCATGTATCTCTCGGCGTACGCGGAATCTGCGCGACATATCGTTCGCGTTCGACATCGCAGAATAATTAAACATACAGATGTAACTTAAAGATAACTTCAAGAAGAGCAAGATACCGTAAAGTTCCCAGGAGACGACAGGTGCGACGCTTATACCGCATTGGAACACATCCTGCTCCGGATGAGCCAAAACGAGCGCGGCGATGAATCCGCCGTAACTCCAACCCCAAACAGCGACTCTTCGCTTGTCCACGAAGTGCAAGGAATCTCGTAAATATCTACAAAAAATTATAATCGTAAAATAGGTCCTCAACAGTACAAAGCATTGGGTCAATGTTGAGTCTACATCAGCCAACCGTCTGCCAATTAATATGTGCTGCTAGGGGCGTCATGACGCTGTTAACTGAAAAGGTATTTGTTACAAGAGCGAGTCAACTGAAATTGATACAGTCTAGGAGATACAGATATTTTGTGTTTATTAGCACGTTGATTGTCATAGCAACATTAGGAAACTTTGTTCCTTCCGACACCATTCTAAAACCGATATTCTAATATGCTATTTATAATATATATTCACCAAAATACACAAAAGAAAAAGAAAATGTTAATTATATACATATATATAATTATATTAATTTATAATTTATATTCATATTTATTAACTTATATTCATATCAAAACTCACAAAAGTAAGGAGACTTATGCGAGGTAATTCGTAGTTGATGTATAGGATAGAAAATTCTTGTCAGAATATTTAGCAGCTAATATGTTAATATCTTACTTACTCTGTAACTTCGAGTTGATCAGTCACTTCCACAAAACCTAGCCTGTAATAAACTTCGTGGAGTAGCTTGTAACCTTGTCCACCGCTTCCTCTACCATCGATCTGCGCAACAATGACGTTCTTCCGACTGGCTAAGTATGTATTCCAATCCACCTTGAATATCTCTGTGACCAGTTGCGACCCAGGAGCGCCATACCTGCAAGGAAACTGTCATTAACAGTCAAATGCTCAAGCTTAATCGCCCATTTTTTTTTATCTTGACGAGATACGGGTATGTGAGCCAGCCAGCTTCAAGTGATATACAGGGTGTCCCAGATTCTCCTCCGCAATTTTTGTGGGAATGTAGAATGGATTGAGATGAACATATATAAAGTTTTATACCGTTTTGCGATATTCGCAATAAATCTCTCGAGATACTAATTAAAGAAGATTAGTAAATGATCATGCACGATATGGTAGATGAACTGTAGCAGCGTCGTCTGCCGTTATATACTTATATATTAGATATATACTTATATATTTATATACTTATATATTAGATCAAACTGAACAGAAAAGTCTTCTATCATTTTGCAAATGACTACACAGATTTTTAGATATTAATTAAAGAAGAATTGTACATTATATATATCGCATATAATCATGTGACAATTTTCTTTCATTGATAATTAAAAATTTATAAAATCTACGTGATTATTTGGTTCATTATTTGGTAAAATGGTAAAGAGCTTTTTTGTTCAATTTGACTTATTAGGGGAACACCGGCTGACTGCTCCGGGGATTTTGATGCGCTTTTTACAGGCTGTTCTTGGACGAAAAAAAGGACACGTGTCCGGCCGTTTCAATAGTTGAAACCGTTGCTGTTCAATAGTGACGGTCGAACGGTATGAAGTGTGCCGCGGCCGACTAAAGTTATTCTTTAAAAATCGATTTCTTCGAAACTATGGCCCATTGACTGAAACTAATTAACTAATTAAACTTACTAAGTAAAAATCGCATATCCGTCGCACGCATATCGGGCGAGCTTTTTTAACACGACTGGACACGTGTCGTCTATTTTTCGCCCAAGAACAGCCTGTAAAAAACGCATCAAAATCCCTGAAGCAGTCACCTGGTGTTGCCCTTGTTAGTATACAAGCACACAACAGCACACATCGCCACTGCAGCTCATCTACCATATCGCGCGTAATCATTCACCAATCTTCTGTAATTAATATCTCGACTATTATTACGAATATCGTAAAACTGTATAGGATTTTTATGATTTACCTCAATTAACGTTCTATGTTTTCACAAAAACTGTGGAGAAGAATTTAGAACATCCTGTATAGTATTCAATATAGTACTTAAGATACACTCTTTTGATTTAACATTCGTGATTTAGGACAAGCGCAGTTTTAAGATATAGTGAATATGTTACAGCATGCTTACACCTGGACGACCAATGGATAGCGTGTGATCTCGTCTTCTCTGAGTCCAGGTGGCAGGTGCAATCTCACCTGGGCGTTGTAGCCACCGCTTATTTGCACGGGGAACGTTTTTACCTGTGGTAGTGCGATATTTGCTATTCTTTCCTGTAATAGATATATAAGATTTATATAAATAGATATTGGTAAAATATAAATATAAATATATAAATAAATATGGATTAAAAGAGTATTATATGCGCAAACACATACGCACACACACACACACACATACACACACAGGACGAGGAGCATTTCGGTGATTAAAACTTTAAGCGTCGCGTCACTCATATCTGAATGACACGTGTGAGTTCTCACAAGGGTTTCGTCACCTGTTTATAGGTGACAATTTTACTTGATTAGGAATAATTGTAATAAGTATTTAGAAGAATGTCGAGCAGAGAGGAAACGTAATAAAACGTCATTAACTTATTGAGACTGCATAACTTGTGAGTTAAATTTATGTCTAAATATGAAAACAAGTAAAAATTATTGTGACTTTCTGCGAAGGAATAGATATCTTTTAAAAATATTTTAGTTAGGATATTGTTATTTATTTGAAGTTATAAGCTATGGCATTTGTATATCTTAAATAGTAATAAATATTTATCATATAAAATTTAATAAATATATCCTCTATTAAAAGAACTACACATATCTTTACTTTGAGCTTTAAAAAGTATCTGGAAATTTATAGTCGACTTTTATTATTTTTTAGTTCTGCGAATAACAACAATAAGTGTTCTCTGAGCTCGATGTTTGATAAAATAAATACAGCCTCGATAGATTAATATAACATATCGAGAATTTAGACTTACTTGGACTCACACATGAACCTTGCGTGGCAATCAACGTGTTAACGCATTGACTGCCAAATAGGAGTTGTATCCAAAGCTGACGTGTGAAAAGAATTCTCTATTCCAACTACGAGTTAATTCGTATAGATTTTCTTTGCGGGAGAATAAATTTAGTAAATATTGATAAAAACGGACCACCTTTCGAGGACGATGACTTTCACATATATGGTCAAGGTCATCATCCTGAGTAACATTCGAAAGGTTTTAACCGTCGCTCGTTGTTCATTAAAAAGTTCATTAAAAAGTTACTAACAAAAGAAGTTGTATAAAATGAATGTAATTTTAATACAAAGACATCGAATTTGTAGACTAGGGAAAGGTGCGTGCTCCTAGCACACACACACACACACACACACACACACACACACACACACACACACACACACACACACACACTGCTCGCCAGTCCGCGCGCTCGCATTGGGTGCGTATGTTCCTATTATATTTGAGGTTTTATAAATAAAATGTAATTTGTCTCGCACATTAATTTATGTAGTGTCGCAAAATTACATGGATGATTGTAAGATCATTCTGATACAATAGGAAAACAAGCATTCACCGTAAGCCCGGCCGGACGGACGGGCGAACGCGCGGGCTGGCGAGCAATGCGTGTGTGTGTATGTGTGTGTACTAGGAGCACACACTTTCTTAGCCTACGAATTCAATGCTTTGTATATACGGTGTCCAAAAATTACATTCATTTTATACAATTTTTTTGTTAATAATTTTTTAATGAACAACGAGCGACGGCTAAAATCTTCAGAAGGTCACTCAGAAGAGTGACTTCTATAACATATGTCAAGATCAAGTTCAGTGGAGCAGCCTCTCCTAAACAAGAGTTTTACCATAACTTCTTTTGTTAATAACTTTTGTTAATAACCTGTTTTTAACAAACAATGAGCGACGACTAAAACTTTTTGAGTGTTACTCAGGATGATGACCTTGATAACATGTGAAGGTCATCGTCCTCGGAAGGTGGTCCGTTTTTGTCAATAATTACCATAAATTTTTATCATGAATGTTTTACTCTGAACAATAAAAATAATTAGCATATTGAGAAATAACATGCTGTTTTTCATGTGGCGTCAGGAACAAAGCTCCTTATTGTAGTGATCAATCTGTTAACACGGAGGAGACTTACACGCAACAACGTGTTGCTCTGCAACATGGTGATAAGTCGCGGTGCGGGCATCTCCGTTTTGTACAGACTCACGGTGGGCACGCCAGGTCCGAGGCACTCAAGGACGAAGTACTCGAGACCGTCGGGCGGAAAGATCGCGTTGTGATATTGACAGGGCGGATCGCCGTTCTCTGCAAGTAGACGCGTCGAGGCCGAATAGTAAAAATCGCGTATCCGTCGCACGCATATCGGGCGAGCTTTTTTAACACGTATACGTGATGCAAGGCTATTTACGCAACTCCAGGCCAGTACCGTTTAGAGGATATATCGGAATGTATCCGCGATAGATTCCGAAAGTACTCTAGCGTTTCACACTCAAATATATATTTGAATATTATATATATTATATTTTTATATATATCTATATATGCATATATATATACACGTATATGTACTCGCGCTACGCGTATACACGCACACTCACCCACTCACCCATTCACACTCACACACAATACACATGTACGCGCGCACACAGGCACGCACGTCATACATACTTATCGACACACCATCGTTATACGGAGTGAGTATTGTCAACTAACAGATATTGTTTGGTTGCGTACCGTCTCTACCTGATTGATTACTCGTGGGATACCGTCCGTCTCTCTCTGTCAGCACTCACACACTCAAGACGGCAAGAAAACGGTACAAAAGAAGAAGGCTGTGGATTCGAGAATGCCGCACCATCGGCACCAGGCGTCGGTACTATTGTCTGTCGTGGATTGCCAATAAAGCCGGCTGTTAAGAAATCTCTATAAAGGAAAGGACGTGACTGTATGGTAGGACGACTGTGGTCCAAAAAATCCAAATGGTCTCTTAACAGGACCCTACCCACGCGACAGAGGACATCAAGAGGATATGTACTTGCTTGAACGTAATCATGGTACCGTGATTGACTTTAGATAATCTCAAGCCATTCCTCTTTTTTCTTTTATTCATCTTGTTATTCGATAACACGTTTCTCAAATTTTACTTGAGCATCGAATGTCTCACAGTAATCACAAGAGGAAGCGATTAGCAAACTTTGTCAGTCACAAGTTAGCTATACACGAAAAGACTTTTGAAAGTGTTCAAATTATAGAACGTGCAATTCGCGACGTGTCGATTTTATGAAAAAATTCGTGTATACTTGGAAAAAATGATTACATATAAGTTTTATCTCTATGTGGCCATATGCAGAGTGAGGCAATATAAATATTATTACTTTGAATATCTTCAAAATATAACAATAGAAAAAATGTATCTAACACAGAAATTACATAGTACAGAAACGATCGTCTTATAGAGGTTTTTCTCTAGGTGGTATAGTTTTAAAAATCTCAAGATCACCTTTTCTTATTTCGGAAATATTCAAAGTATGATAATAGTTATTGCCTTATCCTGTATAACTAAATATATATATATATATATATATATATATATATATATATATATATTTATTTATTTATTTATTTATTTATATAATATATATGTATATACAAGGTGGTTTACATAACTCTTTATAGTTTAATATCTCAGAAATTAAGAAAGATATGAAAAAGTGTTCCAAACAAAAATGGTAGGATATCAAACGAGAAAAAGATAGTAATATTTATATGGAATAACCAAATCAATTTTAATTTTTTAAATGGCATTATATTCGGTATTTTCGGCATAAACTGATTTCTCTAGTCATTCTGCGTACAAAAATACAGAGATAAATCATCGAAAAGTGAATATTTTCTATATTATTTTACATTTTATCCTATTTCTTTTCAATACAAGATATAAAATATCTTTTGAATTATTCTATTTTCGAATATTTAATTTTAATACTATTTTAGTACGTAGAATGACCAATAAAATCGATTGTTGTAAAAAACATATGAAAATTTTAAATAAAATTCCGTGCATCTTATAAATTTATTTATGCTAGTATGCAAAGATTAATATCACCAATCGATTTCTCTCGCCCTACGTATAAAAGTATTGAGGTGAAGTGGTCAAAAAGTGAATAGTTTATAAAATATTTTATATTTTGTATTAAACAATGATAAAATAAAATGTAAAATATCTCAGGAAGCATTCACTTTTCGATGATTTTATCTCAGTATTTTTGTACGCAGAATGACCAGTGATCAATTAATGCCGAAAAAACCATATGATTCCATTTAAAAAATCAAAGTTGATTTTGATAGGGATTTTCAACGTCAAATTTTAAGGTCAAATAAATATTAACATCTTCTCTCCCTCGATATCCTAATTTTTATTGAAAACACTTTCATATCTTTCTTAATTTCTGAGATATTAAGCTGTAAAGAGTTATGTGGCCACCTTGTATATGTCCACATCGAATGAAATGTACAAATATAATTGAAATAAATCCTTATGTTTGTAGATGTTACATTTAATTAAGCAAAATTATTTTTTTCTTTTTTTATACAGTATTTTTTCACATATAGACATATATAATTATATATGGTTATATTTGTAGCCATATAAAGATAAAGTTCACACACACACATATATATATATATACAGGGTGTCCCGCCACTACCGCATTATCTCTTAAGGACGGATTCCTGAGGTAATTTGAAGAAAAAATCCTAATGCAAAAATATCGAGGCTATAATACTTTTCAAATTATAAACGATTAAAGTTGACCAATTATATTGGCTAAAGTACACGCGTTCAGGTACGGTAGAACACACAATGGTACAGGTGCATGTATATAAGTGAGAATTTGCATAAGATATGAAATTAGTTGTAAATCCCTGAAAGAAACGTCAAATGTGTGACAGCTTACTGATTCTCATAAATATATTGTGTGATATTTTATTCATAACATTTTGACGAGATTGTTATTATTTGCGATATGCTTATTTAAATGATAGAAAAAGTAGATTATTATTACATATATTGTTGTATTACATTTTATCCTATTTCTTTTCAATACAAGATATGAAATATCTTTTGAATTATTCTATTTTCGAATATTTAATTTTAATATTATTTTAGTACGTAGAATGACCGGTAAAATCGATTATTGTAAAAAACATATGGAAATTTTAAATAAAATTCCGTGCATCTTATAAATTTATTTATGTTAGTATGCAAAGATTAATATCACCAATCGATTTCTCTCGCCCTACGTACAAAAGTATCGAGGTGAAGTGGTCAAAAAGTGAATAGTTTATAAAATATTTCATATTTTGTATTAAACAATGATAAAATAAAATGTAAAATATCTCGGGAAGCATTCACTTTTCGATGATTTATGTATTTATGATTTTATGTATAGAACTTTCGTATCAATATTTGGAAAAGGGACGACATGTGCATACATCTGTACCACTTCAGGAATCCGTTCTTAAAAGATAATGTAGTGACGGGACACCCTGTGTATATGTATATATATATATATATATATATATATATATATATATATATATATATATATATATATATATATATATATACACAGGGTATTTCACTTTGAGTGATATGGTCGATTATCTCGCGAATCGATGATTTTATTGAACAATTTTTTCAATGAAAGTTAAGGCAAGACCGATCACTGATTCCGCCAACTAAGGCAAGACCGACCACTGATCCGACCAACTAAGGCAAGACCAATCACTAATCCGGCCAACTAAGGCAAGATGTAAAAAAATAAACAGAAAAAGCTATACGAAAAAAAGAGGAAAGTTGAATCGTTCAATTGGGAAGGATTGGACTCAATTCCGTACGCGTGAGCGTATGTCAAGCAGCGCGAAGACGCGCGCGCGTAAGAATCCCGCTCACACGCGCATGCGTACATGGGTAACGCCAACGGTACTGTAATTTTCAAGCTCCATAACTCGGAAAGTACTTAATGAAACGTAACTTTATTACAATGTTTTGGAAAGCTCTCGCGATAAGCTACAAGAATATGTAATAAAAAAAATAGGGGTTTTCGTTTAAAGAAACATTAATGACCTTGACCTGATTTTGACAAAGTCACTCAAGATCAAGTTCACATTTTCATCATATGTCCCCCTTCAAGCCATGCAACTTTCGTTGAAAAAATTTTTCAATAAAATCATCGATTCGCGAGATAATCGACCATATCACTTAAAGTGAAACACCCTGTATATATATATATATATATATATATATATATATATATATATATATATAATGTATATAAAATCATATGTAATATTTAATATAATTTTATATAATCATTTTTTTCCATATAATTAGTTTCATCGTCAGTAGAACGCTACTCTCTCGAATAATGTTCAAGTTGAAATCACTAAGTGCCGTACACAAAAATATATATGTATATTTACATACATATGTATATTTACATATGTACATACAAATATATATATTTACATATAGAATTTCAGATAGAAACTGTATAAACTCTTTTTGACACGTATATATTATGCTCAATAAATATTTTTTCTAATAATAGGATAAAATGAGAAAAAAAAACGGACGATCTTTTTGTATATGCGAAATCACGTGATAAGATCCTTTAAGAGCTCTGAGCTAGAAACACATTTGAAGCACATAAACGATACAACGTTACTGACATCGTACACGCATGGTGCGAACAACTATGTGGTCTCGGCTAGAGCATTAGCATGTATAAATTTACAGAACATCGTTAGACGTTTAAAAATACGGCTGATGTCGTATAAGAAGGCGTAAAGTAACTTATTAAAAAACTGTATGTAAGTATATTCGTGTGTAAGTACTAATGTAAAGAGATCGGGTAATCCTTCTGGCAAGAACGTATAATAGTACGATCGTTAGATATACGTGTGTTTCCGTTCTCCTAAAGCGTTTTTCCGTCGAAACATTGTTCCTGCGGGACAAGGGGAGGAAATCAGGGGCACCTTTTTATGGATTTTTGGTCTAACCGTATGTTTTTTTACCGTGTGAATACTATCATCGACGTTGCCTTACCCTCTTTAGGATGTTGTTGTGTCTCATCCGTATCCGAGGAGAAAGAAAGAACGTCACAATCTGGTTAGTAAAAGTTCAATATATTTCGAAGAAGCGATGAGAATTTTGTGAAGAAGAAACGATCGGGACTAACGAAACAACTTTTACTTGCGAAAGAGATATCCGTGAGAAAAAGAGAGAAAGAGAGAAAGAGGAAAAGTAGAGAGAAAGAGAGAAAAAGAGAGATACGGAGCTTTCTCGGGGCTCATATATTATAAAGGGACAGATGCTATTTTACTAAATTGCGTGCGTGAGTAATTTCGCTAGTATATCAAGGTGAATGAGAATAGCTGTAGCAGAAGCGCCAGACATTATAAATCGATTTAATACTCAATTATACGTAATATAATGTAAGATGACAGGGTCTACTGTGAGCAAATAACGGAGAAATTATCTCGCTAGTTTGGAGTACGCAATGTGTTGGTTGAGGTTTCAGTTGTGATAACGAAACTCAGATGTTCGGCAGCCGAAATCAAGTGTGAGCGTGCGAACGTGATTAAAAAAAAAAAGAAGTAAGCCCAAACGCAACACTTACAATGATATTCATAATTCGATCTTAAATTTAAGATAATCTTAAATTCATCTTCAGATGTTCCAATAAAACGACCCGCATCTGACGGTAAACTCTTAAGACAATCTTAAATGTAAGATTTGACCATAAATGGCGTCCTTTTTGCTAATTTTGCTGCAACAGTTGACGCTACAAACATTTACAGTGATAAGATAATAAAAATAGAATAAGAACTAACATGCTCAATATGGAATTGACATGCGTGAAAGAATAATGAGCAGCATGTATTAAAAAACGAAATTTATATTCAAAAAATAGGAAAGTAATACGTGACTGTCTAAAACGTCTACTAATAATGACTCTATGGCTTGTATTAATAGTCGTTATTTGTGAAATTTGCTTCAAGTGAGATATTCATACTTGAGTTTAGAATTACATGTGAGTTTTTCAATGGAATCACGATTGCAAGTGTAATCACAATTGCAAGTGTAAGTCACGTGTGTTATGTGATTCACTGAAAACTTCAGATCTAATTTTAACTCTAAACCTACCACGACCGGTCAAACGATCGTTTTCAAATTTTGTTTAAAAATTCCTACATTCTCAATGTTATCACATCATCATAGGGTAACAGCTACAGTTATTGACAGGGGTACAGTTATTGGCACATTTATTTTTTAAATTTCTCGTCAAATAAACGACGCTCGTGTGCAACGTTCATATGCTCGTTTAAATTACTCCTTCACCAACAGATTTACTATATTGTCTTAGATCATTAACATTGCGTTTTGGAGCAGACAGCAAAAACAAACACTTACCCACTCAGAGGATCGCCAGGAATGGCTTTATTAGACGAGAAATTTAGTATGCTACTTATGGGAAACCATTTATATTTCAGAAAAATTGAAGTGCGGACCTCTATTATTCTTCATTTCGTCATGGCAAAACTTCAAAGATATTATAGCAGCTATAATATTTATCAATTTTCGTTTTGTTTATATTTATTGATATGCCAATAACTGGTACTAAAAAAGTAACCGTGGTTTTGTTATTGGCACATATCAACTTTTCTTTTAAAATATACCTACAGACGTTGTTTAATTTAGCAGCATCAAAATTGCAGCCAAATAAAATACGAAATTCGCTAGCCTAGACAACGTGATTCTCCTGGACGTCGCTACCAAATGCGACATCATACGACGCCGCCGACGCTCCCGCTATCGCGCATTACTCCAGCATATCACCCCTTAAAATTATAGATTTTTATAGTTATAAAGTTATAATTATATATTATAGTTAGAAATTATTATAAAGATAAACATTCAGTTATAAATTTTAAGAGTTACAGATTTTTTTTCTTTAAATTTATTAAAGTGCCAATAACTGATACTTAAACTGCCAGTAACTGTGTTTGAGGTGCCAATAACTGTGATTTTGTTTGTTTAATTTTATAGATTTATAACATAAATATATGTAACATTTTCGTAAAAATTTATACACATATATTTTCCTTTAACCTTTAACTACAACCTATTGAAAGCCCGATAACTAAAAATTTAATCTTTCCGAAATAATAACCCGATTTATGCGCTTAATGTGCCAATAACTGTAGCTCTTACTCTACATAACTTCATGACTTTTCTTATAATACAATCAATTTTTCAGTATTCATCTTTATTCTTGTTTTCTTTCTTCTAAGAAATATATGTAAATATAAATAAATATACATAAGTTGTCGGTAGGTTTAGTGTTGAATTAAAATCTGAGTATTTCACCTGAGGGAAGTTTCAAGTGACACCTATTAATACAGATCTAAGAGACGAACATCGCAACGAAAACAAAGTGTCATTAACAAGCCTCGAGAAGTTACTGTCTTACAGCCAGCTCCCTCGGTTTCATTCGTGTGTATCATTTTGAGCATTCATTGAGCTCGAAAGCGGCGAATCGCAAATCCCGAGCTATCGAGAAAAGCGAGTATCGTAACGATAGTGTGCGTGAGCGCTTGTTAATAACAACTCTACTGCACAATTCAACATAGCTTATCATAGCTTCTTCATCGCAAAGCGATTGTAACAAGTCGGAAGCTTTTCAAATGAGATAAAACACATACGAAGAGGAAATGACATTTCAGACTCACTCGAGGTATTCTTGTTTTTCGACTTGTCCTTTTTGGAGAGTTGGCGGTGTTCCTTATTGTCGGTACTGTCTGTCTGAGTCTCGTAATCGTCATGCCACTCGTCCCGAGTGGCCTGACCGTTCTGTCGATTCGGGGTACCGATCCAATGCCCGTTTTCGTCGTCGCTCGTCACGCCGGACGAAGTGATGCAGGTGAGACATACCGCAGGATGCAGAGGCGATCCCATAAGTGGTAGAGCGGAGCTTACGCGATAGAGGTGTCTTTGGCCCGGTCTCATGGATGGAATACCGATGAAATATCTAATCGAGGATGCAAATCGTTCTTGTATGCACGACATTCGAGCGTTTGTATATATTTCTTTCGCCATTCATGCAAAATGTGTAATGCTTGAAAAATTTGATAAAATTAGATAAGAAAAATCTATGTAACTGAATCGCGTTTTTGGTAAAAAATGATAAAATTACATAGAAAGGCGTGTGTATTGAGATAAATATTTAATTTAAAGTGTAGAGAAAGTATAAGAATCTAATCGCGATTCTTTGGTATGACTTTGATATGCCAAATAAGATTATTTAAGAGTGAATCTCATTTATTTGAGATAAAACAAACGCACTGAATTATTCTTTGATCTTTCAAATGTACGCAGTAAATTTTCCTTGTTCAAACTATCCTTTATTTTCAAGTAAAATATTAAAGTATTAAATTCTCCTTTTCCCATTCCCAAATAAACTAAATCAATGGAATTGTTTATTCACTTAATTTTGTGTTGCGAAAAATATTGCCTCAACCAGAAGTCAAATTTGAACCCATCAAGGTTTCGACAACATTGTTATGATAGAAAGAAATATATACTTAAAAGCGTTATTTTTCCGCCGAGCGCGTACAAATACACGGACGTGTACAAATATACAAAAGCAAAGTTCGTGCGCAATGCGAACGGGATGTGAACGTTTGGTGCAAACAAAAAACCACCGAATGATTCACAAATGCGAATGCGAACATCTGAACATCTGTTCACGGAAGAAAAGAATTTGCTGCAGCAGCAAACTAATTTGCTATATATGGACAGTTAAACATAATTCGTTGCGTTAGCTTCTTTTTCTTTGGTGCAGGAACCTATTTCTTTGCTATGATAACAAAAAAATTTGCTCCTACAGTAAGAAAAGTAGCTAATGCAGCAAATTTGCTACAGATGGACAACTAAACATAATTTACTACTTTAGCTACTTTTTTGTTGCAGGAACAGATTTTCTTGTTATCCTAGCAAGAAAATTGGCTCCTGTAGCAAAGAAAAAGTGGCTAATACAGCAAATTATGTTAGTTGTCCATATGTAGCAGATCTTTTTTTTCCGTGTTCGCTTCGCCGTTTGTTCACTGTTTGTGCGCTTCATGTAGACGCACCCTAAGAGACGAAAACATCGCAACGAAAACAAAGTGTTCCCAGTTGGAAATAAATTGGGAATAAAGGATAATTTGAACAAGAAAGATTCACCGCGTACGTTTGAAATTAAAACCAAAGGATAATTCGATGCGTTTGTACGTTTGACTTGTTTCAAACAAACGAGATCTTTCCGTAAGTATTTCCATTTGGCAGTTGCATCAAAGAATTACGAGTAAACTCTTACAGGCCGTGCTCTCGGAACTTTAGATTGTTTTATGAGAATCTTTTAATATTTAAACATTTAATTATTATTATTTAATTATTTAATATTTAACATTTAATTATTAGTATATAAAAATGTATCACGATAAACAAATATCACAAATATGAAACGAAAGAAATTGATAACTTTCTTATATAAATTAAAATGTGAAAAAATTGAAATTGATAGAAATTATGAGTTCAGATAAAGTATAATATTTCAATCAAACTTTTATATATATATATATATATATATATATATATATATTTCTATCAGTCCCTTAAACACCATAGATCTCCATAGGACATCCTGAAGACGTTTTGAAAATGTCACTACATTCTAAAAATGTTCTCAAGCCATCTTCTGGAGATCTTGTGACTGTCTGGGCCTTATCGGAGTTTTTAAGCAGGGCATTTCTATTAACGTTGATTAAACTTTAATCTGAATTTAAACTCTCTTCAAATAAAAGCTTAAACTCAGATTAAGATTATTTAATTGACGTTGGTAGAGAAATGGATATAAATCGATTAATCGCAGATTACTCGCTCACATAGTATTGTTCGTTTGGTCCCATACTAAAATCCTGACGACTTCGAATTTGCCATGCGTCAAAGGCACTACTTGTTTGCGAAGCACATTCGTCCAAATTATATGCTTGTAATATCCCGCCGGTCCGTCTTTCACAGGACTTATTGCGACATAACTGCTGCCGTTTGTCGAAAAAAGGGGAGCCTCCGGAGGAGTGTCCACCCATCCGCGACCCTCGCCCGTTATCCTTTGTATTTCCTAAAATTATTAGAACAAGGAAATATTATCTAGATTGTATAAACGGAATTATATTAAGATATTCAATACACTGAGATTCAATCTGAGATCCAATCTGAATCTGAAATTCAATCAACAGAAATCAATTTTGGCCAATAAGAGCCACGCAAGGATGTTGGTAGTAAATAATAATTTCTTGCGGGAGGAATTATATTGCTCGGGTTGTGTAAAGGAATTATGAGAGATGAATTTTTTATATTAGAAGAAATATTAAAAAGACAAAGAGATAAGAAAACACATGCTGCAATATTTGTCACATTCGTAACTTCAAAAACGCTAGATGCAGCGTCTATAAAATTATCGTGCTCTCTAAATTTTTTTGGAACGAAATCTCACTCAAAACAAGTGAAAATTCATTCGAAGACATAGTGAAGAAATTGCTATTCGAAATTGTAATAAAGAATGTTACACTCAAATTTAAAGCTCCTGATCCTTCGCCGCGGTTACTTTAATTAATAACATCAGAAGTGAGAAAATACACGTTAAAAATTCTTGCAAAATATATTGAAATAAAATGATATATGTTTACAAAATGATACTTGCAATCAATTGAGCAGATCTATAAAATAGTCCGAACACTTTTTTTTTATTCCAACTACAACCTTTTATTCCTTTTTATTAGTAAATTAGTTGTGAAATTAATATGACTAAATCATGAAAAAAGATAGGTTAAAAAGGAAAGTTGCACGTCACATTAATTTTACGATTATTTAATAATTGTTTGAAAAAAAGGAAATGTTTGGACTATGTTAATTAATCAAGTATTATTTTATAGATACATTTTTATTTCAACGTGTTTTGCAAGAATTCTTAACGTATATTTTCTCGCTTCTGATATCATTAATCAAGAATTCCTCAACAAGGTTAAGAGTCTTAAAATGGATTCTGACTTTATACGAGTGAATGCTAGTCGCAGGCGATTGATGGGTACTATATTTTTTTACAAAATAATTAGTAGTAATATTGATTGTTCATATTTACTTACTTGAATTAATTTTAATACGCGTTCTACATCGCTTCATACAATCCTACTTTACCGGGACCTCGTTTGTACAAATCTAACTTATAATGCTGATTCTATCTTCCAAATTATTAATTATTCGTGTCATAATTTACAATTGTGTGATTCTTCTTGAGAGCAGTAAACTCTTTTAAGCATTTTCTTTTGTCTGCTATCTTTGTCTGTTTAGCATTATCTTTTGTCTGTTTATCCATTAAATTAACGGTGTGTTATTAACTTTTCTTTTATTAAGTGCTTGCAAAAGTTCGTATGATCCCAAGTAAAACAAATAAGTTACAAATAAATAGAAATATCAAAGTGATGAATTTTACGTCACACTATGGTCGGCGTCAGGAAGCAGTTTGAAATAACGGACTTGTAATATCACATAATTACGTAATTATGTTGTTTCAATGTTTGACAATAAATATATTATTATGTTCTATAAACAGTATAAGGATATATTATATAAATATAATTTAATTATTGTTTGATATATTTAATTATAATTTAATTAATTTGTTTGATATATAATATAATTTATAAGAGCATTATAAGAGCCATTGGAATTACCGCGTGCTACTCGATGGTCAGTTCAAGCAACGCTTGGCACGGTCAGTACATGGATAGGTGGTAACCGGTCGCGCGCCGCTCAAGATCCAAGCTACTGGAAAGAGGGATATGCTAACGTTGAAGTGTGTATATATGTATGTGTGTGAAACCAATCTTTAATTCTGAGCAGTCGCAAGACATGAGAAAATTAGGAATAAGCTTAATAAGTATTTTTGTTATTTAATAAGTATTGATTGTTATATTTTGTTTGATATATAATGTTTATATATATATATATATATATATATATATATATATATATATACAATATATATAATATAATTATATATTTTGTAATATATTTTGTTTGATATATAATATTTCAAAATTTTTATATATTTTTTATTACTGTTACACAACATATTTTGGTATAAAAAAGATTTTCTCTCTCCCCTTTTCTCCCCCTTCTCTCTCTCTCTTTCTCTTTGATATTCATTCAATATTATTTGAGCCTGCGCTTCTAATATATCTTGTATTAACTGCTTTGTAAAACAAGATCATTTTGTATTATCTTGATATCCTGATAATGTTATGAATTGATGTTGTCGGTGGGTCATTTTGTCGTCACAATGATTTGTAAAAATTGACCAAAGAATAATGTCATCTTGATATTCTCATGACTGACTTGTTCTATTTATGAATACTGAAGCCATTTTCATTTATTAATAACAATGAGATGACATAATATTTTAATCAAAGTATTGGCCGTTGCTATCAATAATCTTTTGCCATCTTTTGGACAATAGTTTGATCTCCCATCGATAAAATGCCTCATCTTTTGAGGCAATCCATTAATCGATCCATTTTTGCATCTTTTTCAGCATTTCTGAACTGTATATCAGATAAACCGTGCTGGATCGATCTGAATAGTTAAAATCAAATGGGGTGATATCGGGAGAGTACACTGGATGCGGCAGAACTTCCCAGTCTAACTCAAATAAATCTTTTTAATTGCAACAGCAGGCCTAGCGTTGTCGTAAAACAGAATGACTTTGCGTTGATTTGCGGTTATTTGACGGCGTTTTTCTTTCATGACTTTGGTTCAAACGTCATAATTGTTGACTTTAGCGATTACCTATGACTATCCATTTTGGTAGTAGTTCAGTAATAGTTCATAATAAAGTACTCTTTGCTAGTTCCACCAGAAAATCCTTACACAATTACACGAGAAAATTTTATGATCGAATGTTGCGTTTTGTTGTTGATTTCGATGGTTGATCGGGATCAATCTATGACTTTTTACATTTAGCATTGTCAAAATAGATCCACTTTTCATCATTCGTAATTATTTTCCACAAAAAAACTTTGTTGTGCTTAGCAAGCAATGAAAGACAGAGGATAAGGAGGACTGGTTCGCAATCGCGTTTATAGAGAGTTCATGGGAAAGTCATCTTTCTACTTCTCATTGCTTTTAAATGGCGAAATATAATTATACTATTGATTTATCAACTCCAAGCTGTCCTGCAAGTTCTTTTAATGTTTGAGCTGAGTTTTCCTCGAACAATGTTTCCAATTCGTTGTTTTCCATCTCGTTTGGGTGAGCAGAACATGACTTGTCGTTGACATCATAATCATCATTTCTAAGAGCCAACTTCTTAGTAATTTAACTGATAATTAAATTATATATATGTCTTTATCTAAATTGAAGGAAAAACAAGTACAAACATGAATTAACTGTCAATTAACTTATCAAGAAGTTGGAATAACCGGCTTTAAATCTTTTAAACCACTTCTCACAAACAGTAACAGACGCAATATTCTCTCCATAAGTCTCACAAATTAGTCTTTTAATTATTGCAGCAGTTTCACTTCGACTAAAGTGGTAAAGCAATTAGTGGCGAAAATAAACTTTATCTGGTTCTATCTTCAATCGCGTTAACATAACGATTTGTTCGGAACTATAGAATGTCAAACATTAATTCTAATCGAGTATGGCCAACATTTAAAAATTAAAAAGCAACTTAAAAGAAAACAACTACTAAGTCGCTGCTGCAGCCATCTATTTGTGACCTTACGAATTTTTGTAAGCATCTAATATTTTTGTACATTTTTACTTTTTTTTTAATATTTCCTTTAAGATCACGTTCGTCTTAGACTTGGTTGTAACACATCAATCTTATCTAATCTGTATAATTGTAAAAATGTTAAATGCGTAATTGTACAAAAAATGACGTATTCCCAAAAAAAAAAAATAAATAAATATTTGAATCAATTAAAATGGATTTGGTCTTATGACGATAAAATACATCAGACACACTTAACTCAGACTCTTTAATTTAGAGTGAAAATGTTCACTTGACGATTAAAAATGAAGAATTCACTCTACACAGGGTCGTACGTATTTGGATACACTGTCCAAGTAACACAGCAGCGTCTGCAAAGCGCTTAGAAAGCGCTTTTGCAGGCGTCTTACTGCTATAAAAACGTTATATGAGCGCTTTGCAAGTGCTTTGTGTTACGTGGGTGTATAAGTAAAAAATCACTCGAATTCGAATGACTTTATTGTCATTCTACTTTTTGAGTGCAATTTCACTCTAAGAAACTTGAAAAATAGACTTTAATTTTTTAAATATAAATAGCATATACGAAATGGAAGAATAATAAATTAAAACAGAATATCAATATTCCAGTGAGAAATAATTCGTCGAAACGTCATTTTGACGTTGTTAATGTCAAAAGTAATTCGAAATTTGCGTCGAAAATTTTGCCTTTTTCAAGTAACAAAAGGTTGCATACTTTCTAAATTATTTGAAGTGGAATTTCACTCAAAACGGTAAAACTCCTGTTTAGGGGAGGCTGCTTCAATGACCTTGACTTTGACATATGTTATAAAGGTCATCTTCAAGAGGAGCAGCCTTCCTTAAACAGGAGTTTTACCAGAATATGGATATATTAAAATATAAAATGTGAACATTCAAACATTTAAACATTCAAACATATACAGGGTGATACCGAACAAGGTGAAACTTCGGTTTCTTCATATTCTACTCTTCCTAAGGATGAAAAAAGGTCATATAAACATAGGTCCGAAAACTCGTCCTTTTCGAAATATAAATACTTTTTTGTTTATAATTGAGTATTGTAGGAATGTTTAGAGCTTACTTAAAGAAATTGCTGGAAATGATTTCCATTTGCAACAATACACGCTTCACATCGACATTGCAGAGATTGTTAAAGACGTTCAAAAATTCCTAGTGTATTCCGAATTTTATCAAATGCGGCAGTAATCTGGTTTTTGAGTGTTTCCAGACTATCAATAGTATTATCATAGACTAAACTTTTGATATGTCCCCATAAATAAAAATCTAAAGGAATTAAATTAGGGGAGCGTGCAGGCCAAGCAATTGATCCTCCTCTACTAATTTATGTCTCGAAAAGGACGAGTTTCCAAACCTATGTTTATATGACTTTTTTTCATCCTTAAGAAGAATAAAATACGGTATCGAAGTTTGGCCACCTTGTTCGGTATTACCCTTATATATTAAATTCCCTATATATTTAATTGTTTAAGAATGTCGAAATTTCAAATCAACCACTTTCGACACTAATGATCATTTCGACGAATCATTTGTATATATGTGGTTAAGTATATATTCCTCAGAGTTACAAAATTGAACAATAATTTTTACTATAAAGTTTTCCGTATATCAATTTGAGTGATTGTCGTAGCACCTGGCAAACATTAAACTTTCTACTTTTTGAGTGAAATTTCGCTCGAGGAAATTTAGAGAGTGTTTCCAAGATAAAAATAGAAGGCACTCACGAACCTGACAGTGCCACATTGGACTCTTACAGATGGTCACCACTGAAAGATTCTGGGCGCGCGTCAACCACGTTATGCAGACTTCTGTCAGAGACACCCAAGAAGCGGTTGAGAAGTAATGATCCCTGACGGGAGAGACAATGGCGCATTTGAGAAGTCCATCTATCTTAATGTTAGCTTATACGAGACGGACGGATAGGATAGCCGTCTCAAAATTGAAGAAAACGCTAAACTAGTAACGAGATGTAACTACTACCATTATCTTCTCGCTCTCGAAATAGCAAACAGATTCTACGGCAAACAGGCTCTCTATTATATCAGCGTCGAATCAATCGGTAAAAAACATTCTACATTCTGCGGATATTTTACGTTATATATAATGTAAAATTACGAAGCATAAAATAGCGAAAATGTCTTTCCAGTGAGCAAAGAATCATTGATAGAACATTATCGCAACGATATTCGATAATATAACATTATATAGTGTGTAGTTTTTAACAGCTTAAGTTTGTATCAACATCATCACAAATAACTTCGGCGTTATTTCTAAAATATTTTTGCAATATTCAAAAGGATCGTATTATTCGGTAATATCTCTGAAATATGATCGAAATATTAAGAGAGAAGAGAACGTTTAAAAAATACACATAGAGTCAACATTTTTCAAGAAACCTAGCACGAATTGACAGTAACATTATATCAATATTATAAGTTCCCACTCAACAATGTAACTGTTACATCCAACATACATTGTATTGCATTTACATCATTGACTGGGAAATGATAACATTGATGTTTATTAGTTAATGTTTTACTGGTTGTTAGTCTAATGTTCTTTGTTTACTGGGTTTTCTTAGTAAAACGACGTATATAGTAACAGCCCTGTTTAAAATAATTAATACAAAACAATAACATTGTATAAGGTTTAATTTAAATTTCAAATCTAGACCAACGTAAATAAATAAGATGGTAATTGATTCACATTGAAATCCAGACTGGATATAATGTAATCTTATTGTTTTGCATGTAATCCATCGTTTTAAGCAGGGAGATTAACAATCTCGTCAAGTTGCAAAGTAATTGTCAAAACTACGCGGCGCAAGGAATATTCTAAGCCGGATAAATAAACTCACACATGCTCGATGATAGGTGGCGGTTTCACTACCTTCGTATGAATGTTATTCGGGTCGACTAGATCAGCAACGTACAATCGTACCGAAGGATTTGGTGTTCCAGGCTAGAAAACAAAATCATTGTAGGACAGAGACAAACGACGAAAAAGAAATCAAACTTCACGAGAACATCGCAATGAATTCTCAAGTGCGTGACATACCTTTGGGTACCGTAAGGATCGTATATCAGGATACAGTGCCTTATTCCCCTCCCCGAACCAAGAAATGTGCATCTCCTCCACGAGGGAGTCATTGAACGAGGCGTAAAGCATCAAGTGACCATCCGATGACATCCAGACCGCTTCTGCGCTATGTAATATCTCCTCTATAAATTAAATAAGTAATATTTGTACGTAATTTTGCGTAATTGATATCCTAAAGTAAATAAATAAAGATGTTTCTGATTGCATCAGTAAAAGGAATACTTCGTAAACAATAATCAATAAGTATCCATCAATTTTCAAAAAAATATACTCCTACTTTACAGTTCCGTTTTGTATTATATCTCACTGATTTTGACCAATAAAAACAAGATTTCGCTGGAAAATTTAATAGTATACACATTACACCAAATCTAATTTTCTATGTTTGTAACAATAAAATTAATGACTTCCATGCGTCTTGAGTATGATGACACTGTTTGCAAACTGAATTAATAATGCAATTGCAATTGTTAATTTATCCTTTCAGCGAAATTTTACTATATTTATAACCAGTGTAATAACTAGTTAATTACTTAAAGTTAAGTCTTTAATAACTTTCAATTTATCTTAGTTAATTTTAAATAAGTTAATTCTTAATTTAGATATTAAAAAGCATTAATTTTAACTTATTATCTTTTTTATATATTGATATAAAAATATCTCAGTTGATAATATACGCACTCATATAAGCGTTCGATTCTTACCCTTGTCTTGAATATTTTTAATTTAACTAAGTTAATTTTATAAGCCGTTAATTTTAAACTTAACTTAGTTATATATATATATATATATATATATATATATATATATATATATATTAATTTATCCAATTTATACATACACACACACATATATATATACACTGAGGGAAAAATTAGCTTAAAATCAACAAACATTTCTTTGATGGGTGCTATTAACATATTTATTTAAATCTAAATTCTCCTTATTTAAACCAAATATTGTTTACTTAAATCAGGTAAACAATATTTGATTTAAATAAAGAGAATTTAAATAAATATGTTAATATTTACCCACCCATCAAAGAAATATTTGTTAATTTTAAGCTAATTTTTCCTTCAGTGTATATATATATATA